CACAAGTTCCATGCCCTTTCCTCTCATCAAATCGATGGTGTGGCGGAATCCTTTATCCCCTGATATCAACACAAGTTGTTGATAGTTTGTTTTATCAATGCAAACGTCTGCAATCTGACCTTTTCGTAAACTTGTTTCTGGATCATTGGGAATCTCTTGCTATGTATTGTATCGTACACCTTGTGGTACACATATTCAGCTTTATTATTGGTAAAGAAGGTATGATAAATACCCTTGATTCTTTTATATCTCGGAAGACGCCCCCAATATGTAGAATCTTGGTGCCTTGATATCAATCATCTCTAGGGCCTCTTCAGTAGAAAGGAATGCTACTTTATAACAGATTATTTGATATCATGACTGAAATTTTAAAGCATACAAGATATTTTTTGAATATCGGGAATGCTTGGTGGTGGAGATAAACGTTATTTTCATGAAAAGTTTATTCAACAAAGATTGATCTGATTAACGAAGATATAACCAACGTTGGATGGCTTTACTTGCCTAAAACTGTCAGAAGAATTGAAATTATGGTGGTGCATACGGTTGTTCGTTGTTGTCTATCTATCTTTTAACTAGAGAAAATAAGTTCAAGATACCACTTGATATAATACATTGCGTTTCTAATTATATAGTCACATGGAAGATTTCTTATCAATATTTTTGGTGTAGTAATAGCTCCAAGGTTTTGAAACATACCTTCAAGTGTCACATATTTAATCAATACGAATTTTAATATTTCATGATCGTTTTCCTTAATCTCTGTACTCAGGTAAATGTTTTCTATTTCACTAGTTTTGGCTGTTATCATTTCTGTATTTTACTATTCATCTCGTATACAAGTCAAACAGTTTTTTACTTCTCTGAAGGTTTAGTTTGCCTCTCTTCGAAACAACAAAAATATAATCTGTTTATTCTTTATTTTAACCATAACCATTACTTAAAATTCATGTTGAGTCAACTTAACTAAAGATCAAGATTTAGATTCAATTGGAAACAAAAGTTAAAGAAAAAAACAACAATCAAGCACACTATCTTTATGATTACATGAAACTAGAGTTAATATGCCTTATGAAGCCTAAGTTTGCCTGACAAAACATCAAAGTTTGTAGTTTAGCATCAAGATCACACACTTGATCCACCATTTTCATCGAAGGAACACCAAATACGAGTTTGCAATGCGATGTTGTATTCACGTGTGCTTTAAAGATTCCTAACACTGTAATTTTCCCTGGCATATTTGCTTTTGTCTCTATCACAATTTTTCTTTGCAATATATCTTAACGATATCACCTAAATTTGCAACAAATTTATCAATCTGAAGAGCCCATCACACTAGGAGTCCTTGCCCTGGAACCAACTTCTTTGGAAGGTTTTCGCTGAAAACAGCAATTGCCATCATACTTCCATCGGTGGTCCACCTCATCATGCATGACAATTCGAGTGGCTCAGGATTCATAATAGACAGTACTGGTACGATAGTAACATGCGCCCATGTTGTTATCGATGAGCCGACTTTGGAATAAAGAATATGTCCGATCTGTAAAAAAGGTAATATATAACATTTTAGCTTGATATTAGTTTTAATATAATTGTATTTAATATTCTAAATTGGCAGGTGAGTGTAGTATTAAGTGACGGCAAGAAATACCTAGGAGTAGTTTCGCACTACAAGATTGAGAAGGACGTGGCCTTGGTCAAGAAAACCTTATAATAAAATTAATAGCACGAGATAAATGAATTTTTTATAATGTTTTTTTATTAAAACTTTTGAACGTTAATATTTATTCAAGAAAACCATAAAGGCCTAGTAAGGGTTGTGGTTTAGTTTTCCTTATTTCTTTCCAAACTAACAGAAGTCTCATTTAGTGAATCAGTCTTTTTTATATAGTTCAATGTAAGATTGTATTCAAACCAAAAAGAATAATAGTGTACAAAGAATGCTACATATAACAAATTTTTTTGAAATTTTAAAGCATACAAGATTATGTTTGAAGATCAGGAATGCATGGTGGTGGAGATAAACGTCATTTTCATAAAGAGCTTATTCAACAAAGATTGATCTGATTAAGTAAGATCGAACTACCAAAGTTCAATGGCTTAACTTGCCTAAAATTGTCGGAAGAATTGAAATTGGGGTGGTGCATACGGTTGTTAGTTCTTGTCTTTCTATCTTTTTAACTAAAGAAAACAAGTTCAAGATACCACTTGGTATAATATATTATGTTTCTAATTATATAGTCACATGGAATATTTTCTTATCAATATTTTTGGTGTAGTAAGAGCTCCAAGGTTTTGAAACATGCTTTCAAGTGTAACATATTTAATCAATACGATTTTGAATATTCCATAATCATTTTCCATAATCTATGTACTCACTAAATGTTTTCTATTTCACTGGTTGACTGTTATCATTTCGGTATTTTACTATTCATCTGGTATATAATTAAAATTGTCTTTTATTTTACTGAAGGTTTAATTTTCCTATCTTCGAAACAACAAAAATATAATATATTTTTTCTTTATTTTAACCATAATCATCACTTAAAATTCATGTGGAGTCAACTCAACTACACACCAAGACTTAGATTCAATTGTAACAGAAGTTAAAGAAAAAAAACAACAATCAAGCATACTATCTTTATGATTACATGAAACTAGAGCTAATATGCCTTATGAAACCTAAGTTTGCCTGAAAAAACTTCAAGGCTTATAGTTTAGCGTCAAGATCACACACTTGATCCACCACTTTCATTGAAGGAACGCTAAGTACGAGTTTGCAGTGCGACGTTGTATTCACATGTGCTTTAAAGATTCCCAACACTGTAATTTTCCCTGGCATATTTGCCTTTGTCTCTATCACAATTTTCCTTTGCAATATATCTTGAAATATATCACCTAGATTGGCAACAAATTTATCAATCTGAAGAACAAGAGGACATGGCAAAATCGCTGAGCCTTTGGCTGGGAGTGTGCTTGAAGGAAGAGTGAGATTTCCCACAAGAATATCTCTATAATAAACCAAGTTTTCTACCGTCTTGTATTCGAAATCGGCAAGATTAGGATTTTTCATCAGCATTTGGAGTGTAAGTGTGAAATTGATCTGGACGTCAAGTGGTGGTGATATAAGTGTGGATACACCTTCGACAGTTGAAGACAAGGTTTGTAATATAGGATGTTTGGGTTTGAACACAGTTTGTGAAAGGATCAAAATGGTCATAAAGGTGATAAAAAGGATGGAAATGATTCCAGAAACTATGTAACAAATACGTCGTTTGGTCATGATTATAGTATATGTGGATTGCTTTTGTCTCCAAAATGTATTAAGCGTTTGCAGAACTTATAGGCCACTTTCTTGCAAACATTCATAGTTGAAAGTATGGATACATTTAAGAGGAATGAGTTTTGTAATACATTGATTTGTGATAACTGATGACAATCTGTAGTCATTTCTATGGCAGTCGCTGGAGATTTGTTGTTTTATAAAAAGGTTATTGTTAAGTCAAACTAATTTATGAGGTAAGTTTAAAAAAAAAACTAATTTATGAGGCAGATATATTTCCTTCACTGAACTTCTCTTCCTTTGAAAACAAACGGACTAACTACACGTATTTTGACTCATTGATTTGTAAAGATTCCTTGCTTTGATTGTATTTATAACTTATCTGAGAGATAGTATTGAGTTAAATGACAATAAATTGTTATTAACTGGTGAAAATGTTTAATAATGAGTGGATTGTGGCCTATGGGAAAAATATATTTACGGATTTCTTACTTGAAAAAAGTTCCAACCTATTTCAATAGTTAGTGACAATGGTAACAATAATATTGTATTCTTTTAGTATGTATGATCAAATAATCAGAATAATCTACAACTAAAACGTTGACAAAGATGAAAAAAAAATAGAACCAAAACGAGTGGTCCAACACCAAGAAACCCGCATCTTAACGTGCTTCCAAGTATTTACTTGAATCTATCTATTTATTGTCATACTATTTCAATATATATACCCCATTTGGTTTATATTATCATTGTCTGTGTCTCTCCATACACAAAATCTTGCTTATTAGTGTTATATATTAGGATAGTATACTTTGTGGACAAAAATAAAGACATTAATCTGTAAGAAAAATGCTAATAACTTTTCTGTTTAAGAATTTATTCTTAAGTTTAAATGATGTCTGCTGGTACTTTTGGATTCTGGTTCTAAATAATAGGTAGCAAATTAGAAAAAGAGCGAAACTACTAAGGTCCATATAGTATGGTTTTATGATACATTCTTAAACGCATTTTAAGCTTTTGCTTTCTTTTGCATTGATAAGTTCTTTTTTATTGAAAAAAGTTTTTTTTTGCATTGATAAGTTTTATCCTAAATGTATTTGTTTATATCATATGTTTTTTCTCTATTGCAATATTTATTTGAACTCTTTTTGTTTGACGTAATGTATATAATTCACAAAGATTTAAGAAACAACATACAAGTATAAACAAACAGGCTACATATATGTATATGGTAAAAGTTTAACGTTACAAAGAAACTATAAATGTGTAATAAATCACATGCAACGACTCGATGGTCATGTGCCGACATGTGTTAGCTGTTCATTACCCTCCTTCATGCACTCTCTCGTTAATTCCCAACTCTCCCTGACTGATCCATCCTTTTCTCTATCAGAAAAGTCCATTTCCTTTTTCAAAAAAAAATTCAATCTCGATCGATGTAAGATTTTAATTATATAAATTGTACAATTGCATACTTGCATGGCTCTATTCTTAATCTCCAACAGTCTTTAAACTCATAAGTCTAATTAACATGTCTGTAATTTGTCTGCTTGTGTCTCCCCCTAACGTGTCCATGTGATCTTCTTCCTCATTAGTACATTTCTAAACTCATTTTACTTAAAAATTTTAATTATAATTTAACTAATTAATTATGAACTCACTCTGTTTCTCTCTACCATTCATTTTATATATTTATCTCCATCATGCATTACTCTCTCACAAAGTCTACCACTTGCTCCAACTCTTCTCTTCAACTTTACACAATCAAAACAATCAACCACACGTCTATAGCACTATTTGCTCTTCTCACTTTATAAGCAGAGATCAATCACTCTTGACGTTAGTAGAAAGATATGGTTTCTGAATCTGTTTCGAAGATGGAATCACCACCGTTGATTGGACCACGTATCTCATTCTCAGCTGATTTATCCGACGGTGGAGATTTCATCTGCATCACTCCCGTGATGTGCAAGGAGCTAGAGAAAGGGTCAGTGAAAGTCTCCGACTTTGAGTTCTTGTCGGAGAATGTGAGTCCACAGAGGATGCATACCGCCGACGAGCTCTTCTCCGAAGGAAAGTTACTTCCTTTCTGGCAAGCAAAGCACTCAGAGAAGCTTAAAAACCTTAACTTGAAGACTAAAGAAGAAGAGGAAAAACAGAGTGGTAATGTTGAAGTTGTGACGATGATGAAGAGTAGAGATCAGGAGAGTAACAGAGTGAGTTGGTTTATAGACGAGGATCCATCTCCTCGTCCTCCTAAATGCACAGTTCTTTGGAAAGAGCTTTTGAGGTTGAAGAAACAGAGGAACTCCTCTGCTTCTTCGACGACGAGGACGGTTTCTTCGTTGTCTCCGTCTTCTTCCACGTCATCGTCGAGCTCGCTTGAGGATGCGGCGGGGAAGAGAGAGGAGAGAGAGAAGGAAGGGAAGAGAGGTGGTAAGAAAGGGTTGGAGAGGACGAGATCAGCGAGTATGAGGATAAGGCCGATGATTCATGTCCCTATTTGCACTCCTTCTAAATCCTCTGTTCCATTGCCTCCTCTGTTTCCGCTTTCTCTTAAGAAAAACAGAGCAGAGAAACGCACTTGAAACAAAAAAGAAGTTGGAATCTATCTTTTGATATGAGTGATTAGTGGTTGATTTGTCATGTGGTCTGTAACTCTAATGCATGTGATTATTCAGATGTATTTTTGTGTGAAAGATCTGTCATCTGTTCTTAATTTCTGATTTCATCTGTTCTTTTCAAAAAGTATGTCATTATCAACAGATGAAAATGTGATTTAGATGTGTTTGTATGTTGAGATGTGAAATGTTGGGAGACAAAAGAGTAAATGTCAAAAAAAAAAAAATGATGAGATTAGAAAGAGCAGAGTTTTCTGTTTGTTAGTTAATGATGAGAAAGTGAATGATGAAAAGAGTGATGGGCACATGCAAGATTCAGATGTTTTCTTCAAATTTTACTTTTTCTCTGCACCAATTGATTATGCTTCACCATTTTGGAACTGGGTTCCACTTTTTGCAGACTACAGCTCTCGTTATTCACATTTCTTTTGTACTATCTTATTTTTAGCATCTACTGATAGATATTTGATATCAAAAAAATATGTAAAGGTCTGATTATTCCAGGTGAGAATGAGAATCATCATTGACCTTAATAGATCCGGTTAACCACATAAACTCCGTTTTATCACAAAGATTCATATTACAACAATGATTTTTTTTTTTCATAATACACAACATATGCAATCAGTATTCCCTTGTCCCTCCCCTCAATGTGTTAAAAGAATGAAGCGTTAAGATAAGTAGGTTGTACACGTGAGGCTTCTAATTTACACACAAAGCTCTAACAAATCTATAACACAAACTCAAACCATTGTCGTCTTCTTCTTCAAAAGGCTGAATCAACGTGGCGGTTGAGTCAGAAAGGGATTACCAGATGTCCTGAAGCATAAAGCAGCAGAGAGTATTTGTATTAGCCAATTCAATATTAGAATGTATGGTGAAAAAAACTCTTTGTATTTGTGTAGCTTACCGTAGCTCAAGTCCTGGCTTCTGAAGAAGATTGCTAGGAACTTGGCCTGTTAGGTTATTGTTTTGCAAGAACCTAATAATATATCACACATAACCAAGTCAGAAACTCATCGTCTAACAGTTTAATGGAGACATATAGGTTCAAGTTTTCTGGAACTTAGTTTACAGAGGAAACATGATTAGAGTTATGGTGGGTATACTATAGTGCATTGTTTACTATGGCCTTTGAATCTTATAAAAACTAAAGCTAAATGACAAAAGACAAAAGAGAGGATGCCAAAAGAGTAAGGGTTAACTGTTATTATACATAATGAATAGAGGGTATCATGTCTTTTCTATCCACAAAGCAAGAATCTTGAGCAGACAATATTCTAGAGAAGCCACCAAACAAATAATGGTAAATCTGAGAATGAAAACTTACAGCTCTCGCAAACGTGGCATTCCACTGAAAAATGAAGGAAAAGTCCCACTGAAACGATTGTCTTCCAAGTGCCTACAAAACGAGATGAGATTAGCTTATGAGTCTCTGTTATGTTCCATTACCATCTATTGTGACTGACTGGGAAAATGTGACAGCACAACTAAAGAAATGTAAGAACTATCTACTTACACTGATTCCAGCAGTTTGAGTGAGCTGAAGTCAGGTATACTTCCCGAGAGAGAATTGTTTCCCAGCCAACTGTTTGCAACACATGAATGAATGCTGTTAATCTTGTTGAGGCATATAACTAACTGTTCACTGGTCGATGTACTTACATGGAGGACAATGCTGTTAATCTTGAAACTTCAGGTGCTAGCGAACCTGAAAGCCCCATACCCGTTAAGTTCCTGGGAACAACAAATGGAAAAGAAAAGTGTCAGTAAATCTCAAAACAAACACAGACGACGCAATTTGGCTCAAAACTCACAAAGCTACTATGCGAATTCTGGGACCTTCCGAGCAGGTAACTCCAGTCCACGAGTAATTTTTAGGCATACAAGGATCCCCGTTCCAATCAACCGGTACGTTCTTGAAACTGCTTTTAATAGCATTCAGTGCAGTTGCTGCATAAGAAAGGAGAAACACAGTCAATATACAAACAATTTTTTTCAAACCATTGAGTGTTGTTAACAGTCATACCATCTCGAACAAGAGTTTTCCCTCCAAGTGGTATCACCTCAAACATTTCACCACCATTGATAAGAGGGGCAAGCGTTGAGCCACTTCTAGGACTCAAACGTAACGTCGTAAGACCTTCAAGAGGCCACCTGCTTGCAAATATAACCGCACCAGCTGGAGTAACAGAGAGCTCTTTATAATACGTTACACCATTCACAGAAACATCAAACACTCTAGATCCACCGCCCAACGAATCAGAGTCATGAGCAAAGTACAGCGCCATATAATAAACAGACTTTGCCAAAGGTAGTGGAGGCCATGTGAACTCCAACGGTTGAACTTGAGTAGCTCTTAGATCCGTGTTGAATATCCTCGAAGGCGGAAGGTTCCAGAAACCAGAAACCTCTAGCTTCCTGTTGTTTGGTACTGTCGAGTTTAACGAGTAAGGCTCCCAAAACCTATCAAACTCATCATCTGGAAACCTGAAAAACAACGCATAATACCAGAGGTTGTTAGCTCAACTAAAAAGGATCCTGACCATTGTGTTAGAAGTCCCCGGTGTTAAATCCGATCCAAATTTTTCTAATATCCGAATTTTTTATAATATTCTAATGAGATGAAGTTCATGAACCCGAACCCGAACCAAAAACTGATTGAGACCTCGGTTGCATAGCCCGAATGCTGGGACGAAATTAATATTACAAGAATGATTATCTATACACTATATTCGCATCGAAAGATTGCCTATTAGAGACAAAATCACAACGGATTAAGTAATATATAAGATCAATGAACTAATCCACTTATCACCAATTAATTTTAAACTGAAAATCCGTCTAAACATTATAACAAACCTCATTCGTAAGTTGAAACAGATTAAGTAATATATAAGATAGATGAATTAGAGCATCTCCAACCCCACTCCATAATTTACTGCAAAATGGAGTGGGAAATGGAGTGATGAAGAAACAAAAAAAGTGATTACTCCATAGATTTTTGTTTCTTCATTACTCCATTCTCCACTCCATTTTGCAGTAAATTATGGAGTGGGGTTGGAGATGCTCTAATCCACTTATCACCAATTAGTTTTAAAGTTGAAAGTCCGTCTAACTAATACTGGCCATTGTGTCAGAGGTTCCGAGAGTTCGAGTGAGTGCTGACACGAAACTAATATTATACCTGATGATTGGTCCACTGTATCCAAAAGCATGCCTAGCAACAAGACTTAACCCAAAACCACCAAAGTTAGTAGAGTTGTAAACAGTGCCATCAAGCCTAACAACCTCCAAGGCCGAGATAAACGGATCAGAAGCCGTATAAGAGTTGGAAGCAACGCAAACGCTTATAGACTTCCCCTGCGCCAAAAACACTCCTTCGTAATAAGAAGCCAAACCATCAGCGTAATCCGCCGTGGTGTTAACGACTCCCCAAAGCGTCCCGTCGACGATCTGATCGAAAACGGGAGGAGGATTGGCTTTTCCGTTAACTCCTCCGTAGAAGTAAGTCGTCCTGATCATGTACTTCCATCCGCGGGAGACGGCGACGACGTAGCAGAACTTGCGACGAGTGTTGGTGGCTAGAGGGAAGGATCTGACGGTGGTTAGGAGTTGGTCTAGTACTTGTTCGGAGACGTTTTTCGATGTTCCGGTGGAGATGAAATCATCGTCGGGTTGATATCTCCGGTTGTTGATTAGAGATGAGGAGGAGGCGCCGCAGTCGATTAGAATCGCTGAAAAAATCAAAAATCAGGAGATCGGAGATAGTAATATGAATAATGAGAGGTGTGGAGATCATACCGGAGGGTGGAGGGGTTTGAGAGAGAGTGGAGAAGACGAGAGACGAGAGGAGGATGAGGAGGAGGAGATGGGACATGGTGGCGGAGAAGCAGTTAGCATGAAAGAGAGAGAGAGAGGGTTTAGGTGGGAAGAAGGAGGGGTGGGGTTGACCCTCCAGCTCCAGAGATGAGAGAAAAGTGACAAAAAAGTAGAGAGAATTAAGAGGAACAGGTCAGAGTCAGCGAGGAAGAGGACGATTCTTTTGTTTTTTTTTTCCCCAATTTTGGAATTAAATTTTTTTTTTTGTTTTCCTCTCTGTTTTGGTTTTCTTCAGAGAAATGATATTATCTTATTCTGTTATTTCTGTTACGGTCTATGTGAAGATAATTGATGATTAAACCGGCGGTTCAGTAGTCCCGGTTCAACTATGGCTATAGTTTAACATCTGTGTTTTAAAAGTGCGGAATTGTATATTTTTAAATATATAATTATATAACAAAAAATTTGTAGTAAAATTTTCTATTTTGAAATACAAAAAATCTTGTAACTATATTTGGAAAATCATATGATATATATTTATGTGCATAATTAATTACATTCAGTGATATGTATTGTTGCCTAGAACTAAATAATTGATTGAAGAATAAAATAAAGGTGTATAAATGTAGAAGTGTATCTATTTAGGTGATTTTTTATATATATAGAATTTTTTTTATATTAATGAGTGGCATCTCATTATAATTTATTCAAATAAATCTCACAAGATTCTGTTTTAATAATATAGATTAGATTTATAGATTTGTGATTAGTTACATGATAAATAGCTGAAATGTGTAACAATTATCATTTTCATTAGGTAATATGGTGGTTGGAAAGACCCTTTTTGATATGTTCCACGCGGTTTGAAGAAACCATTAAAAGCTTTAAGATTTTGATGTTTTAACAATCAAATAGACATTTGGATTTGGTAGTAATAACTTAGGCTGTTCTTATTCATTTGTGTGAAATTACTTAACAATTAACTTAACTAAAATGTCTTCAACTTGAAAAATATTTTTTTGTAACTCAACTGGAAAATACTTCTCGAAAGCGTTTTGTAATAGTTTACGTTTGCTCACTACTTTTCTTTACTACTTCAATGCAAATTTCCATTAAAGCTTTGGATGCAAAGCGTGTGCTCATTACCATCAAGATTTCATTTCATGTGCTCACATTAATAAAATATGAACAATGGTATGTATGTGCATTTTGTCATACACGTCTCTACTTTGTGGACGACCACAACGGTCAAAAGTCTCTCTAAAATATTACTCCTTCTGTTTCAAAATAATTGTCATTCTACGGAAAAATTTTCGTTTCAAAATAAGTGTCGTTTTAGAGTTTCGAGGCAAAATTTATTAGTTTTATATGGTATTCTATTTTTCTATTGGTTGAAAAGTGGTTAGGTGTATAGGTAATTGTGTTTTTATCTTGAAAATATGTAAAATTAAATGTTTCCTTAATCTGTGTGTAAAACCTTAGAATGACAATTAAAATGAAACGGAGGGAGTATTCTTTAATGAAACGGAGGGAGTATTCTTTAGTGGAATCTAACTTAAATTAATAAGACTCAATAAATGCAATGTGACATGTACTAGTTAGGATAAGCAGAGCTGTACAAGTATGGTGAGGCTTTTAAGACCACCAACAATTTCAACACATGTTCACAAAGCTTCTAAAATTTATCATCTAAAGTTCGTATGGGTAGCTGACTGTTTATTCGTTTCTGTAATAACTCGTAAATAAATGGTTTAAGAAAACAAACATTGATTTTAAACCGATCATAACGTATATATAGTATGGTGGTTTAAACCAATGTTCTGTTAATAATCATCTAACAAGAACCAAGTAAATTACATGTTGGATAGAAAAACCTTTAAACACGCAAAAGAATTTTAAAACACAGCGCTTAATAATCAAACTTCAAGACTAACTAGGTTGAGAATATTCAGCTTTCAAAACTTTATAAAATTTGTGTTAAAACAAGTCATGGAAGTCATAATTTTTTGGAGGATGTCCCAGTGTCATATAAGTAACTTCCTTGAGTCCTATTGCCTACTCGTCCTTGCGACTGAGTACGAAGCATTACACTTTCATCATATCTTTATCTTCAGAATCAATTGCTATCTACATATCTTGCTTCAGGCACAAGCGTAAGTTCTTTCATCCTGTCAATCTTCACAAGAATCTCATCTCTAAAAGCTTTTCCTTTTGCTCCGGATGAGTCTCCTCTAGTAAGGTCTACACTTGCTGCTAAAATCAACTTTGCAGCCAAGATTTCACATGCATCGGTCCAAAACTCAGGAGAGATATTTAAGAAAATTTATGTTTTCTCCAAACAATCCACAAGACACTCAACATTATTAATTTATAGAATTTTTACTCTATACATCATTCTCTTTTATTCAGTTTCATTATCAGATCAAAAAATCTAAAAGAGGCTCCCCCATATCTGATCTCTACTTCAAACAAACGAACAAAAAAAATCTTATTTCAGAAAACCTTGATCAAAGTTGATATTAATTTGTTTACTAGGGTTTTATGGGTTATATATAGAGGAGAGAGTTTTAAACCGAACCAGAATATATATATAAAGGAAAACTGGAAAAGAGTAACAAAAACAATATGTAAATCTTCCTCTTCAATCCGGAAGCGAAACCCTAATTTTAAAATTTTCAAAAAAAGAAATTTCCTAATAAACTTTTTTTTGCCTTTTCTTTGGTAGTAAGGAAACCATTTATTCTATAGTCTCTCAAATTCCATAGATTTTATTATAAATCAAATTATTCAAGAGAATAAGGTATCTTCTTTTTACAAAATATTATTTTAGTAAAATATCTACTAATTAGGTAAGTCCACAATTTTTTGACCAAAAAAAAGGTAAGTCCACAATTTTAAGATTTTAAATTTATTTTTTTAGTAAAAAATAGACATTTTCGTGGATTTTAGATTTACTTTCCTATAATACCTTTCTAATTATTATTTCTATAAAACCTATTCTTCATGGCTAAGAGACAGGCTTTTGGTTAACATCAGAAAAAAAAAAAAAAAATATTAAAGGAGCTAGGGGTGAAGATGGCGAACATTAGCTTAACCAATGAGAAGGCTATGGAAGAGAAAGCATTTGAGACTTGTCCTAACAAGAAACAACTTTGTGATAGTATCATAAAAGTTAGAGTTCCCGTGGGCAAAGCACTTTCAAATTTCAATTTCTTGACTATAATCAACGTAAGTTTTACTAATCTAGAGGATGAAGGTAGTAAAGCTCTAGTAAACGCTCTTGAGAACTCTGCTCCATCTCTTAAAGCTATAGAAATTGCTGGAAACAACATAACCTATGAGGCGGCTTATGATATCTCAGCTTGTTTGGCAGAAAAGTTACATCTGAAGAGGTTGAACTTGTCGAATAATGATCTAAGAGATGAGGGATGTTCTGATATTGTTTATATTATAGAGTCTTTGGAGTTGAAGTATGTTGATATGAGTTATAATGGCCTGAGAGAAGAAGGAGCATTGAGCTTGGCTTATGCTGTTGTCAATAAAGAAGGTTTTGAGATGTTGAACATTGATGGGAATATGATTTCATATGAAGGGGTTGAAGAAGTTAGGGAGATATTCAAGAATTGTCCTGAGTTACTTGGACCCTTGGATGAGAATGACCCTGATGAAGGTTATGAAGATGATGAATATGATGTGGATGATGAATATGATGTGGATGATGATCAAGGGTGGGAAAGAGAGTATATTGAAGATTATGAAGATGAATTTGTGAGTGTATTTTACTTTTATTAGTTTGTAATGTACTAATAGAGATTTGGGTTCTGGTTATCTCAAATCAAATTCAATGTAGTAATTAAAAGGTATTATATGTTAGAATGTCATAAGTTACATTGGCAAGAAGGACATCTAAACACAGAGACAGGTAAAAGAAGAGACCAAACCCAACTCAGATCTCACTTTATCAGTTTCTTCTACTTCCATTAGAACTTTGAGCTTTAAAGTCAGAGGTTCTACCATCTTCTTCTTCTTCCTCCTCACTCGTCTAATCACTCACCACTTGGTTAGGTTTTATTGCTCTTTTACTTGTCTTCTCCACTCTCCTCTCTTTAACAGAGAGTTTTGATATGTCTTCACCGCTCTCAACGGCTTTCATCCACTGTACCTCGCTTAGTGAGTCACTATAAAACATTTCTTTACGTTTTCTTTTACCTGTGACACTCCCAAAATGGTTTTTTGCACTGTTAGACTTGTCATCTTGGTTCTCTGTAGTGTAAGCCCATTCAGGGACTTCCTGCTCTTGCATCAGACGAGCTCTATAACTCTCTTTCCTTCTCCTCTCCTCATCCATTCTCTCAAACATCCAAAACTCATCTTCACTACGAGCAGCAAGCCGGTTTATCTCTCTCTCACTCGGGACATCATTCCCAAGTGAGCTTGTTCCTTTGCGCATGAGCTCTTCAAGCATCTCTCTTCTGTCTTGTGCTGTGTTATTATAATCACAGAGCACACATCAAGAGATTACCATTTATATATAAACATTTTATAGAAGTACAAACAAAACATAGAATTTTGTTTTATATACACAATATAATCATCAACTATTTATCTTATTTTATAAAAAAAAAAATACACAATATAATCATCTAATATATTTCTTTGCACTTCAATATATTTTGATAATATTTAGTAAAATTATACTTAAATTTTATGAAACATATTTCATATTCACTAAATAATATAATAAAAGCAATATAATAGTCAATTTTATAATATTTAATTAATATATACACGGTAAAATCAACTATTTATCTTATTTTATAAAAAAGTAGATTTTAAATAGGTTTTCTTAAAAACAAAATCTTTTGTAAGTTAATAAATTATTATAGTGCCAACATTATAATTCATATAGTTTTGAATGTATATATTTTTTTTTTACTTACCAGTGGAAGTTGTGTTGAAAAGACCAGCTTGTATGACTTTGGCATCAATCCCCATCTTCTGCTTTGCACGCTCCAAGATCACTTCTTCAACAGAGCCAACACTAACCAAAACAAACACTCTCACTTCCTTCTTCTGCCCTATACGATGAGCTCTATCCTCAGCCTGTTGGTCCATCTGCGGGTTCCAATCACTGTCAAAGATAATAACAGTGTCTGCACTTTGCAAGTTCAGACCAAGACCACCCGCACGAGTGCTCAAAAGAAACATGAAGTAAGGAGAGTCTGGCTCGTTGAACTGCTTCAGTAGAAGCCCTCTCTGATCCGTCTTTGTGGTACCGTCGAGTCTAAGGAACTTGAAATCGTTGAGTTTTAAATAAATCTCGAGAACGTCGATGAGACGTGTCATTTGGGAGAAGAGGAGGACTCTGTGTCCGGCTTTGTGTAGTTTTGGAAGGAGACGATCAAGGAGCTCAAATTTCCCTGAAGCTCTGATAATCTCATCAGGTTTCTTACACATGTTGTAGTCTCTTTCAACAAATAGATATGGATGGTTACAGCATTTTCTCAGTTGCATTGTTAGGTTTTGTAGACTCTTTGATTTTCCAGATCCTAAAACATGACATCAAGTTTGCATTAGATCAGTTTTACTTACAATGTTCAAGAAATACTTAGGCTGTAACTAGACTATTTAGAGGACTAGTAGCTTTAGGCTTTTAACAAATTATTGAATATATATTTTTAATTATAAAACTATTTTGATAATAAATTATCAAAAATTAGATATACAAAACAAAAGAGATTAAACAAATTTCTGGATCTTTACTCACATTATTACTCAATTTAACAGATTTAAACCAAATTATATCGATTTAAACCAATTTGAGTCGTATAAATCGGATTTTAAGAAAATCATTTCGGTTAGAACCGATTTGGCCAAGACAGACGTTTATAACCCTGAGTGTGTGAACTTAGAGAGATTAATATAAGTGAGTTAAGCTACAAACCTGTCTGAATACCAACCCTGCCCATGTCTGTAACTTGTTTGTAATAAACTTTCTGCCACGCTGACATATCACACTTCAATATCACCTGTGTCTTTCCAGGAAGTAGCTTCTCTACTTCATCCTTTTTCCTTCTCAGTATAAACGGTCTTATAACCTAAAAATGTGACAAAGAGTGAATCACATTGCTACATAATCTGGTAAAAAATAGTGTTTAGAAACTCACATGATGAAGACGGTGGATAATCAACAGCTCCTCTTCATCACTAAGACTAACACGATCAGCAAAAGGAGCATTAAACCACTCCTCAAAGTTCTGAACCGAGTTAAAAATATGAGGGAGGAGAAAATTAAGCAATGACCATAACTCTTGAAGGCTATTCTGTATAGGTGTCCCGGTTAAGAGAAGTCTACGTTTTATCCTATACCTGTTGAGAAGATATAAACATAAACAAGTCAGCTAATAAACATCATTCACTTTTGAGAGAAAACTAGTCAAGAGATGTTTACCCTTTTAGTAGTGTCTTTGCTAGAGCAGATTCATGGTTCTTCAGCCTATGTCCTTCATCAACAATCATGTAGTACCAATCAATTTTCTTCAGAAATGCTTTATCTCTCATGATAAGATCATAGTGTGTTATCAACACGTTGAACTTCCCTTCTCCTCCAATTTTTTCCCTTATTGCTTTTCTTTCCTCTAAACGTCCATCATAAAGAAAAGCTGCAATGCTGTAAACAAAAAAATAATACAATGGATTATATTCAGACTCATACAATGAAAATGTTTGCAACATTACCTTGGTACCCATGTAGCAAACTCGTTGACCCAGTTTGGTAGCACAGCTTTTGGAGCCACTATCAGATAAGGCCCAGTGACATTTTTATTCTCCAGAAGATATGCAATCAATGAAATAGTTTGGATAGTTTTCCCCAAACCCATCTCATCAGCTAAAATCCCATTCAGATTATTGTTGAATAAAGACACCATCCATTGGAGTCCTTCTATTTGATAGGATCTTAGCTCTCCTCCTTCTAGAAGTGAAGGCTGCTTTGTCACCTTCTCTTGTATTGAATGGATAGCAGAGTTATACTGCCTCTGGCCTTGTAGTAAATCATCATTAGTATCAGACTCAGTGATATTAATCTCCTGCAACGGTTCACTTCTTGGAGCATCAAGTTTAGAATCTTTCTGACGCTGAACAGCAGCTCCCAAATTAGAAAGGAGTTTGTTAGTCTCCTCTAGAAGAATGGTGAGTCTTACGTTCTTACTCTCCTTTACTAGCTTCATGTATGCTTCTTGATCATTGGATTTAAGAGCCATTAGCCTCAGCTTTTCAGCACGCGTGGCGCGGTGTCTTTGTCTCCCATGCCACGCCTGCACACAATCGTTTCTTTGCCTGCGGCGTTTTTGAGTGGCTTTGATTTGTAGCTGGAACTCAAGAACTGCGTTGAGTACTATTGCAAAGAACTTCTTCTTAGCGGTTTTGATCAGATTCTTCTTCTCCTCTTCTTCTAAAAGTGACAACCTCTGAACAAAAGAATTTGAACACATCAGCAATGCAAACAAGTAATACAGTTATGAGCTAGTGGTAAGAAACTAAATGACCTCAGCGTTACGCTTCTTTTGGAACTGATCATCAGCTTCCTTAGCAAAAGGATCACAAACACCGTAAAACAGACGAGGCAAACGCATCATTCCCCAGTCAAATAGTTGGTTACTGACATCAGCACAGTTCCTACGCAGCAAGAACTCTGAGCTAACCTCAGTTCTTACCTTTCTTTGCAACTCTCTTAGCTGCAACACACCAATGTCAAACAACGTTTACATAATGACAAAGATCATAGAGAGAACATGAGGCGAGGATTGATACCTTTAGACCATAAAGCTCAAGTAAGCATTTTCCTTGCAAGTCTTCACCTCTCGTAGAAGGTAACTCTAAAAACAAACACAAGACACCAACATCAGCCGTCACATTCCTCATGAAAAGTATATTATGTCTTTTTTTTTTTTTTTTGTAATGGTTTTACAGTAAGAAAATAATAACCTTGGAGCTCAGATAAGCGTCGTTGGATAAGAGTCTTGTTACGATTATTATATAACTCTATCAATCTCGAGCCTGATTCACAGTTTGTTCTCTGTTTCAGAAGAGCATCCTCGAACTCTCCCATTAAATCACCTCCCAAAGGAGTAAACTTATTCCTCTGCACAAAATAAAGCAATAACCTTTACAATGTAATGCACAAAACAAACTCCACAAAATCGATTAAACCCTCAAACAAAGAGAGAGAGAGAGGATTGCATGTGCTTACAGGAGAAGGAGAAGAGGCGGCATGATGGTAGATGGAAGAAACGGAGGAGAAGAGGTGAGGAGGCAAAGGAAGGTCACGAGAGATGTAATTGAGAGCACAGATCAGAGACTTAGTCGTCTCCTCTTCTCCTCCTCCTCCGCTCTCTGCTAGATGATGAGACATCATGGCGGGAACTTTGGTATGAGTCTTTAACTAATCAAAAAATTGTTTATATTCTTTTGTGTGTGTATTTTTTTTTTCTTTTTTTCAGTTTTCGTCACGATCGCTCCTTTGCCTTTACACACCCGAGGGAAAGTAGACCGAGACAAAAGATGAGGCGGACAGAAACTACTCACCTAATTATACGATCTCCCTTCTCTTCTTGTCTTGTTATATTTTACATAATTACCCGTACTTACTATAATGGGCTATACCTAAGGCCCATTTATTATTAATGGGTTATTTGTTATCAGCGGCCTTCTCTAGTGGGCTTGCAGTAATAGGTCATAATTGATAGTTAATGGTTGTATGATTCCGCTCAAATTTTGGTATGTGTTTACGAGTGTTCATCAAACAAAAAAATTATATTGCTCTGATAATAACAAGAGTCAAAAAGATTTACCGTTGCATAGAATTTTCTCCTGACTTTCAAAGTAACTATAGTTTGCATCAAGAACTCCATGATCATCAAGTGAAGAACCATCAACTGAAGCCACTAAGACTTGTTGCCACCATCTGCATTAGATATGTCAATTATCTTTTCTAAACGATTCAGCTGAACCAAAGTTTTTGTTTTCTTCAAATCCATTAGGAGAATCATATAAAGGAATAATCCAAAACTTTGCCGGATTCAAAATAATTTGACAAATAAACAAATCAAATAACCAGAAAGAAAATAAATTAAAGAGATAAAAACAAAACGAATTAAACAATCGTACTTGAGTAATAAAAAAAGAGTAGCAATTGTTCTCAACTAAGTCTGAAACATGGTGTTTTGGGATTAAGACGAAGATTATCTCTTTTGGGATTCAACTATTTTAGAAGCAAATTTGGAGCTTTTACATGAAATTTTTTTAGGTATCCATACGCAAAAATGTGTTAATTTATTTGGATCTCTATTGGTGTATCTGTTTTCTATGTTTGTTTTGATAGTTTTCATTGTTAAGAACTATTTGCATAAATAATAATACAATTAAAAAACAAAAAATTTAAAACCAAATAAAAATTGTATGGGTCGTTTACAAAGCGGATGGAGCTTACCGCTCGGGTAGGTCACAATCATCTGGACCACCCTTAAAACCAGATTTGAAATTTTTTTTATAAGGATCACGTGGTGATCCACGTGCAATTTTTTTCTTTAATTTGTTTGTTTCTGTACCAGTTTTCAGAAAAGTGGTAATAAGACGATAACACCGACACTAATCTTCATTCAAAATTTCTAAGAATCCTTGTGCATATATAGTAATGAGTTTGGTCAGTGGTCACATTTTGTGTTCGTTCGTCTCTCGGAAATCGTAATTTGATTTCTGTTGGCAGATGCTGTTTCCTAAATAGATTCTTCTGCTCCGTTTCTTTCAATCGTCACACATACATGCGTATTATAGATATACTGTATAAGATTTTGTATATATGGTTCATCACATGATTGATCTTTTATTTGCATAGTTGTAGATATCCCTTAATGTTTATTATTTGGTTACGGTATTGTCTTATAATCTATACTATTATTTGTTCTAGACTTCTAGTAATGGAATAGATCGATGTAAGTGTTCATGACTGTGTTTGTTCCATTGAATCAGTATTCTTATCCAAAGTAGTCATATTTATGTGAAAGTTATAGTTTGCTTGGATGATATGTGAGTGAGACAATAGTTCCGGATGAGAATGATATTTTTCATGTGGATGTCATGCTTTCAACAAAAGCTAAGGAGACAAACAAATAACTCTATGTGGCCAATACATAACATTCTATATACATATTCTTTGTCTACCTAAATTTTATAGATATGTGAACTTTGTTAACCAATAGTTCATACACATGTGTAAGCATAAGCTTAATTTACAATTTAATTCATGGTCACAATTTTTAAAAGTTGTAGAGAGTGGCTCATAAAGACTCCACTAAAGATAGTCAAAAAAGATGATTTTTTGCTTATGCAAATCATTTTGAGCCATGAGATGTACACTTTCGTTTCGAATCATGTGTTCAGATTCGATATAGCGTTTTACAAGTTTTGGGATGATTAAATTTGTTTTGTTCTATTTTTCCATGGCAAGTTCTTTTCGAATAAATACTAAATCAAGAATCATATTATCCTAAAGAAATTGCACCTTTGTAAATCGCTTTCAAATATGCCAAACACATCTAGATTAAAAATGTACAGTCTCGTTTACATTATAACACCACAAGATTGCTAGTTTGGTTACATGTATACAAAACGTAAGGCTTAAGGTTCTGTCTCCACTAAAATTTGAAGTGGTGTGACGTATTCTTTGCCTTTAGATCCTCCATTAGTTGAAAAAAAATAACTAATATTTGATGGATAACGATTCGAGTTTCACTCTGTATTTCAATTATTTTATGTTTGTGCGTGTGTGCATCATGGGGCTTGTGTGACATGACAAGTCAAATTATTTTCGTATATAGTATTCTCATACTTTAATTTGCTTATGTCGCCTGTCGGTATTCACTTAATAATTGTAAAACTCTTAATTAATATAACTAAAAGCATCTTTAAGTAATAGGACACAAATTTTAAAAAAGTAAAGCATGATCGTTTGGTGCGGCCAAGGGTTGCTATGCTACTTTCTAATTCATCTCAATGCGTTGGTTCGAGACTTAGGACCACATGTGCTGATCAAAGACTCAATATATGTAGATTGATATTTGTCGATAGATTACGTCTGCAGGTCAGCTCCTTTTTCCCACCTTTTCTTGATTAAATATATGTCATAACTTTTTACGTACCCTCATGCTTACGTTATAGAATCCTCCTCTATTTTGTTATTATTTTCACGTTATTCATACCAATAATGTATCAATTTAAATGGTAAATCATTTCGTTATACTTCCTTCAGGAGAAGAGTTTTAGCGTAAATATTCGGACTCAACAATGAAATATATTTTGAAGGGTAGTCACAATATATTTTGAGTATTTTATGACTGTGCTAGAATAAAAAAAAATATATATGAACGATAGGTTCTTCATGCGATTAAACAACGAGAAAATTAACTCATATTTATCACACTTTGTTCACATCATTTTTGGTACGTAACTCGAATACACACATTCTGATTCACATATTCAGTGCACTGAGTACAGGATCCGTTCATCCACTTGGAACATATTGTAAAATGTTACTAGTACTAGAAGCTAAGTACTTATTTTGGAAAAAAACTTAAATAGGAAAAGAAATCTGAGATCTACTTGTCATATATAATACATATCAAAGGTATCTTCGTACAAAACCAACATCAATGCATGGTCTCGATTTTATGAGAAATTATAATTTATGTATCTACTTGTGTTCATGTCTGCTATACATTTGCTTGGTACGTAATGCGAAAACACACGTTCTAATTCACAAACTTAGTCCACTAAGTAATCCGTAATCATCCACTTGGAACATATTGTAAAATGTTACTAGTACTAGAAGCCGAGTACTTATTTTGGAAAAGAACTTAATACGAAAGAAAAAAAATTAGATCTCTTGTGATATAAAATACATATCTATGGTATCTTCGTACAAAACCAACAACGCATGGTCTCTCGTCGAATTTTGTGAGAAATTATAAACAATGTATCTACTTGCGTTCATGTCTGCTATACACCTCAGAAAGTTTGGTCTGCTAGCTAGTTAAAGCGATCGTAGGTTATGCAACACACAACTAGCATAAGTGCAAAAGATATTATTATGCTTGCCACAGTTCATGGATGCTGTCTAGCTAGCTTATATTTGTATACACATTCTTTATACACAAGCTGCGAAAGCTTTTCCATTACAGGAAACCCAGAATCTCAAAAATCTCTCTTATGCTCTTCAAAATTAGGAAACGGCTTAACTTTCTAGCTAGCCTTTCTTTCTTGCAAGTTATACGGTAAAAGATGAGGTTGGGGCCAAATTGCTTTTAAAAGAGCATTCACATTGCAAGATTCTTTAACAAAAAAAAAAAAAAAAAAACATTGCAAGATTCTTCTTGAAAAAATAATCGGACCAAATTCTAAAATTTAAATTCTCAATTAATATTTTATTATATTGATTTTTTTGAGAAAAAATTGAAGAACTTTGTAATGTGGATGTTATATATAAAGTTTAAAAGTTTCATTTTCCTGTGTTTATTTAAAGAAGGTACATTTTAGTATTTGATCAAGCAAGAATCAAAATTTTCAAATGCAAACAGAAAAGAAAAAAAGTCAAGTTTGCTATTTTCCGAAATACATATATGATAAATACAAACAATCTCGGATTTATGATAAAAATGTATCATTTTTATTTTATTTATTTATTTAAGTTTCTATTTTTAATTTGAGTTATCTTTTCAGCCGATAATTATACTTGCCTTGTGTGGATTCACGTCTGACTGCATCACCCCGAGCCGCCCTATGAGATCCATTCCTGAGGGTATGTCTTATGCCATCCTGAAGATCTCTTGTAAGTTTTCTCTCCATTATGTATAATTCGCCATTCACCTTCTCCGGGAATTGAAATCTTTTGGTGTAGAAACTGCGTAGCTTGTGATTCGAACCCCATAAACTTTGTAAGTTTTGTTCAGTTGTGAGTTTTTAATTGATCTAAAAACGAATTTTAAATAATATACTTCTATTTTTAGATAGATCTTTTGTAACCCCTTATATGATTCCAGAGACAAAAGTTTGGTGTTTCAACTGTAAAATTCTTATACAAAACGAATCCATTTGCATTATCGTTGTTTCTACTAAATTGTAAAAGAATACTATAAACACAAACACACTTTCCATTGAGCATGATTTGTTATATCAGCATTCACATGGCTTAGAGTTAAGAAAAAGATAGCTAGTGAGTAATTAGTGACTTTAGGGCATTAGTTTACTTGTAAAAGTTGTGTGCAACTGTTGTTTTGTCCCTTTCTTTTTCAGAAAAAAGGTTTTAATTAGGGTTTTTTCGTACATTACACAGCGTAAGCATCTGAAAAACAGTAAAGACATAGAGAAAGTGATAGTGGGGAATCAAATGCTGATTCACGAGTCTAAAACTTTCTGTCTTCATAAGCTACTCCGTACGAGTTTTTAGGGGTAACATGGGTTGGACTAGGAGAGGGTAAAAGCAACTTAGTGTTGGCTAGCCAAAGAGAAAAAGGACAAAGTTTGATGTGAACCTACTCCAACCTGGATTACTATTTATAATCACAATGTGCTGAATCTGAGAGAGAATATTCCAAAGTAGGAACCTAGAGGTGGCCTTCTTCTATTCATCTTCTGTCATCAGCGGAAAGTTTTGAGTATAATTTCACACCCAGATACGTACAGATGTAATATTGTTTGAAGTGTTCTAAACCCAACCTTATAAAAAAATACAACCAGACCAGCAAAATTAAACACATACTACGATTTATGATCGTTAAACTTTTTTCAACAAAAAGCTATTCTAATCCTTAGCAAATTTTAAACTTGACAGCCAACTCAATGAAATTGAGTCAACATAAACCATAGTATAAGGTAGATATCGAACACCACACCCCATGCAAGTTTTTCAGTCATTATATTTATTGTCTTTGGGATATGTGGATAGCAAAATTTTGGAAGAATTACTTACATAGCAAAAATTGAGATTTCTATTTCTTTTTCTCTTTATCCTACAGTAACAATTTATAACTAGATGGAATCAACTTTTAAATTTGAGAGATTTAGAACGTAGTAAACCAATGTACAATAGCTTTTATCAATGTTGTAAAGCGTCACAAACCGCTACCACTCACAAACAGTAGCGATAAAACCATTCAAACCCTTAATGCTACTCAAAGAACCCTCCCCTTAACGTGCTAAAATGATTAAACCACTTAATTATGTTTTGATTAACATCTAGGACCATCTTTTATCACTTTAGGGCATAACAAAGTGGGCGGAAAATGGGAATTGGTTCCTTGCATTCATATATAGAAGCGTTGTTGGGTGAGGCGTGTTTTGACACACTTTTATGTTTTATTTTTATTTTTTATAATTAGTACTATTTATTTTTCGTGGATGATGCATGCATATCTTCAGTTGACGAACATTCCTCTCTAGATGTTCACGCCTTCGTCACTGATGCCCATAACCTTATATTAGTTATATTTTTGTGGTTAGTGAAAGAGCTTTCAACATTGTTGAGCTGTTTTAATATTTTTTTCTTACTGATGTATTAATCATGTTGGTAAGTTGGGCTAGAGAATTAACCGCCATTTTTTTTTTTTTTTGAAAACTGAATGTTCTGGCCTCACCATGTGGTCTAAACTAAAGACCGATCCTTGCATGGACGCACCCCCGAAGGTGGATACTAGCTAGGTGAACACGATTTTCGGTCTCGGACGCCAGATCAAGTCCATATGTAAATTCTCTGGTGACCAACGCGGATCGAAAACAAGACTTGTTGATTGTTGGGGTTTTCTCAATTTTAGTAGGTAATTTATCAAAACGAAAGAAAAAAAAACAACCTAGGCTAAACAAGATTATAAAATTTAATATATATATATATATATATATATTAAATTGTAAAAAAACTTCGCAAATACTAAAAGATCTAACTGAAGCTGTGAATAGGAAAAATCTGTTTCAACATTTTTTGTTCAGTTTTTTTTAAAAGAAATTGTATACTTCAAAAACACATGTGCTCTCAAACCACATTTTATGAATTTACTACTTGCATAGGAAAGTCTCTTTCTCTGCTTTGTTTTTGTGTGGGTAGCCTCTTTCTGGCCACATCACATGCACGAGGATCGATACTTCCTCGCCACTGACTCAATCATGTATATATCTTTTGTTTTTGCCATTTATGTGTAAAACTATAGTTGACCAAGCTTTCTTCATTTCTACAATTGCGTTCCTATAAAAAGAAGCTTTTCTTCATTAAAACTGAGAGAAATATTTGTAGTGTATATTACATATATGGAACTGTACAGTGACTCTATTCTATTCCTTCACCCTTTTAATGGATATATATTCTCATATACATTATGTGGCATAAATAAATAGTTTTCATTTTATTCAAGTGGTAGTGTGGTAAAGCTCTTTACCCACCATCTCTCTCTCACTATACACTAATACCAAACCTTTCTTTATCAAACTTTTATTTATTTATTTGTAAGAAAGTAACTTTTTAGGCACTACAAATTAACACCCTCTTCCTCTCCTTATCCCTCAAATTCACTTCTCAAGCCTCTCATCTCCTCTCCTACTCATCTCTCTCCCTCTTTGTTTCCTTGTTTCCACATAACAACTCTTACAAGAATCTTCTTCAAAAACTCTTTAAGCCATGGCAACTGTTGTATATCAAGGGTATCAATCTCATTTTGAGTCTCAACACTTTGAGCCAAGAGCTCTAAGACTCAGACTCTCTTCTCCTAACAATCCCCACTCATCCACACCTCTCAAACCCCTTTTTCTTGACTCATCCATCACTCCACAAGACAACATCTCTACCACTAATGCAGCCTCCTCGCCAGCTCCTAAGCCGAACTCTAACTCCAAGTCTTGTAGCTTCCTCGAGACAATCACAAACTCGAACTCTGATGATAAAGACAAGAAGCCATTACTACCCTACGTTCATTCCCCATCTTCTCGTAGAACTCTCAGCGATGAGAGCTTAGCATTGTGCACTGAAAGCCTCGGTAGCGAGACGGGCTCTGATGTTATTACCGATCAAGATTTGTTCTCGGTTTCATCCGAATTACAAACCATGGAGACTAAAACGTCAACCACCACATCAAGAACATCAATACAAGAGAGGAAGAGGAATGCAATGGCTTCATTTCCACCTCCTTTGACAAGTATGAGAGGTTTTGATTGCATTCAAGTCAAGTCCCACCGTGAAAATGGAAGATTGGTAATGTCGGCAATGAAACCTCAGCCCCGGGATAGATGCTTACAGGACCGAAGTAATGGCTGCGTCAGACTCGCGTTCTTGATTGAATCTGATGACTATACAGAGACCAAAGAAGAAGAAGAAACTATTGAGATAGAGAGAGATAATGAAGAAGAGGTTCCAGAGAACGAGGAAGAGGTTGAACAAGAAGAAGAAGAAGAAGAAGAAACCGAAGTGATGGTTATTGAGAAGATTCAAAGATCAAATAGATGTCATGAAGGGGAACGAGAAAACAGAGGATTTCTAACGTGGGAATCTTTATGTGTTGCCACTTCTTAAAAAAAACAATATATCTAATCTCTTTGTGATCACAGTTTCACACACTTTTTTATTTTATTTCATGCATTGTATTTTTGTTTTTGTATAAATAACAAGCGTTTCTCTTTTTAATCACTCTCTATGGTTAAAGATTAAATCACTGACAAAGACCTTGATTATTAGGTTTTTATTTTGTCAACGACCTTATTTGTTAGTTTAATAATTAAATATTTGAATTTTGGGTATGTCCTGTTAAAATATGACGTCCACATTAATACTAATAAGTTTTATAAGAAAAAAACTAAATTTTGTAAATTGCATAAACACATTTTCTGCTCATGTGTAGTAAAAGTTATTATTATGAAACCCAAATATAATGATCTGACAGAAGTGGCAGACTGGAAAAATGTGGAGGAAGAATGTGTACCCTGGAAGTGCCTTCATCATGGGAACACACATCACTTCCCTCTGTCTATTCTTGTTTTCCCACATTTTTATCTTCTCAAAGTTAAGTTATATGTGATCATATCTCTAAGACTTTGATTTGTATTCAAGTGGACATTCTATGCTTGTGATATATAATCCATTAATCCTCTCCTCATATATTTATATATATATTTGCTGAGAAGTTATTTTAAGTGTATATTAGGCTAAAACATATAAGTTTTGCAGCCATGTGATTTTTTTAAAGTCCTTGGTGTTTATTTAACAAACAAAAAAAAATCATATAGAAGAAGGATGGAAAATAGAGAAGGGACTATTGTTCCGTACAATGACGACGTCACATCTATGCTAAAAGCTCTCCGAGCCTCCGCTTCTAATTTCCCTCAGCCTCTCTCTTAGCCCCACAAGTCCACAAGAGAAAGACATTTGGTTGAAAATTCGTTAATATACACAATTATATTTTTTTTATTCAGATTTAAATTGGAATTCAATTAATTTTTTAAATGCATAGAATAAACATATGTCCATAACTTATTGCTTAGAAAGAAGATGTGTCATAGTTCAAAAGTACAAGAGGCAAGAGGTGCCACTTAACTATGACTATTTTCATATGAATAATTATCTGTAATTGCCAGCTTATATGTATGCAGAAAATTTAGCAACAAAAAAAAAGAAAAAATTTTATATGCATTAATGCATGCATGCATGGTTTCCCCCTAATTGTTGTCTGTGTTTTGTTACATCAAAAATAAATCTAATTAATATAGTAAGGATGCCACGTAAAACTCCACAAGAAACTTTGTTTTCTCCTTCTTATGATGACTACTCGTTTGTTACAAATTTAAAATAGAACATTAGACCATGTTTATTGCAGGTTCCTTAAGTTGGGTCCCTTAACGTACGGTCCCTTAACTTTTAACTGAAAACGCTAAGGAACGTCCCTTAAATCCCTTATATAAGGGACGTCCCTTAACGTTTTCAGTTAAAAGTTAAGGGACTGTACGCTAAGGGACCCAACTTAAGGGACCTGCAATAATCATGCTCTTATTTATTTGTTATTGTATCCGATATCCCCAAAACTGAGTTCCCTTATAAATTTAATTTTAGTGGTTTAAATTTGATTTTTCAGTGCGATCCTTTTCACGTTTCTTTTCTGCAAAGTAGTTGGAAACTTTGCATGGATCTACCTAGAGCTCTATCCAATTTTTGAACTTTTTTACGTTAATCCATTTGCGCAATGTATTTTATATTTACACTTATAGAATGAAACAACTTAAGTCGTCATTTTTTGATAAAATCAAGAGACTAATACCAAATCGATATATACTCAAATTCATATACAGTATAATTTCTTTAAATTAATACTCTATAAATTGATATACATTAAAGTTTTTTTATTAATATAATATCATTTTATAGTATCAAATTGAATATTTGGTTCAATTAATATATCAAAAAATTAATAATTTATATAAATTAATAAAAATATAATTTTGATGCATTTTCAATATTATTAATTTATACAGGTTTCACCGTAGAATGAACCATGAATTATAAAATGGAAACTTTGAATTCGTATGTTTGCTTGCCCTGGTTAATGTTAAGTGGTAAAATGATTATGCTAATTAACTAATCAGTAAAATCGACTGCAAAAACTAAAACAACTATTTGTATATATATACAAATAAGACAATCTGAACAAAATGATATATACAATCTACTATTTTGACACAATGATATACACAAAGATTAATTCAGTATAAACGTGATATAATATGCTCTCTTTTAAAACATAAACTACCCCGAAGTTTATCTCCACGTTTGAATATATAAACACAAAAGCCATAATAAAGCTGACGTTTATGCTATGTCCTATTCCAACCCTCTTTAATTGATCTAATCCAATAGTCCTAACAAACCTGGTCTTATATATGTATGATTCATGACGCAATCCTCTATTGGTATGTTACAAAATTAGGTCAGACTGTATTATATACACCAATATGCATAAATTTAATTATAAAGACAGAGGATGCAATGCAACAATGTGGAAATATAGAGGAGAAACAATGACATCACGCAAAGTAGAATTGGGTATTTTCTTGCTGGCTAAGAAGAGAAAAAGGATTGGTAAGTAAAATAAGAATATGGATATATGGGCTTACAAGTGTATATGCATAAACCTTTTTTGTGTGCAATTAAACAATTTTAAAATATGTAATTTTGTCATCTTTTAGTAATAGTGGGATGCCTTTTGATTCTTTATGTTGTCACTTTCTTTGACCCGTTAATTAAACTATTTACCAAATTAATTAATTCATGACTTTAAATTAGTGAAAATTTTCCAAAGTAGCAATAAGCCAATCATGTTCATTCATTTACGTAATGGTACAAGTGGATGATTAAGGCTGGACACATAATTTATGATATACGAATTAACCTTACATAATATAACATATGGTCACAAATCCGATTATACTGAAATTTTTTTATCACTCTATAACCAGTAAAACTGATTTGGATTATATTCATGCATATATTGTTTACATTTTAGCTCGGAGAAAATAATATCTGCTATCCAAATATCTAACTAGTTGTACTTTTCGTTATTGATATCACATTTGTTTAAATTATTTAAAACTAACATTGAAAAAAAACTTGTAACACCACATTGACATAGATATTTTCATTAAACGCTTTTTATAATTTTCGTGTATCCCGGGGCCCATGTCGTAGTGAAACATGGCGACACAACCAAATCGTAGCAACTCTACTGGTCGACTCTTGTCCTAACTTAGTTGCTTTGCATATTAATTTAAAACGTGTGCATAGTTTAATGACGTTCATCTTGGTTTAATACATATATATATATATATACAAATCATATATTTTTATATTATAATGATTAGAAGAAACATACATTTAAACTAACGAGGACCTCCACAAGAAGTCGGGAGATAATAATTTTTGGACACGAATATAAAAGGTGTGTTTTAAAAATAAAGGCAAAAAGCATTCATCACAACGCATAACTTTCTATAAAAACAACCCATTCATAGTTTTGTGAAATTATTTTGGATAATGAACTGCAAAATTCGTAGGACCCAATCAGATTTCAGAAATTGAGTTATGTGACTATGTCCACGTGAATTATGTCGAGCAATATTTTGTATATTATTATCATTATCGATTATATATATTTATATCTTAGGTTACATTACTTATTATTAAATGACGTAAACAAATCTACAATATGTTTCTGAAATACGTACGAATCTCTGAAACAATAGGGTTTTTAGTTAAACCAAAAATCATGACAAATATTTGGAATTTGGATTCCAGTTACAACTTGTTATCACAGAGAAATTGTAAAACACACTAAAGGTGACGTAGAAAAGGGGTACCTCGCTCTCTCTATATCTCTCAAATCATTAGATAGGGAATTGTCAAGAACGTACACAAAACGCAAAAGAAAATCACATATTTTTATTTTTCTTAAGTTGGAGCCTATATGTAAGTGTATCTAGCTACAAAGGTCAATACTTCAATCAAATACGGTCCAAAGTCCAAACACTGAAAAAGGAGGAAAGCACAAAATCTTAATGTGATTATAAGTAGATATGGAAGAGAAAATCAAGAAACATAAAAGGCATGAAGATCTTCATGTTCCTCTTTTTTTTTCTTGGAAATTTGCGCAGCTTTGTTTGACAGCCCACACTCCAACCAAACACTATAGATAATTCAACCATAATACTGAATCAAACACGTTGGCTCATTTTCTCCCTTTTTATGTCTTTGATTAGTGATTGACTTAACAACGGTCATATAAAGGAGAAGAAAGCAAAGAATACACATGTTACATTGGAGAGTATGTGTGATTCCTATACGTTTTCAGTAATTATGACATTCATCTGTTTACTTTCTTATAAAGAATAAAATTCATATCTCTGTATAAAAGCACCTCCATTAGGAGGTTCTTACGACGGAGTTCTTATCATAATATAAGAACACGTCTTTTTAATTTTTAACTAAAAAAATTAAGAATCAATTCTTAAGAAGATATAAAAACTGATTTTTAACTTTTTTAGACGGGTTTTTATATTCTGCTAAAAAACCCATCGTAATAATCCTCCAACGAAGATGATCTAAGACCACTATATTTTGTTTGCTATGCTTTACTAATAGTTAATCAATATATATAATCATATATTATTTTATATATCTTTTCATAATATTTTTAATTAAGACTGTCACCAATAAATTATTTTATATATTTTTTTAATACAGTTGAGTTATATTTCAATGATACTCTCTATTTTAGAGAGTGAAAAATAAAGTGATAACAAAAATAAATAAATTATTTTATTTGTAGAACAAATTTATTTTACTCTAATAAAAATAGAGTAAAAAATAGAGTGCGGAGATGTTTGTAAGTTGTCAAAATTTAATTAACATGAATTAAGCTGGGCTGTTTCATTTTGTTTGGTATTTATCTTAGATGGTTGCTGTCACTAAGTGAAAGTTAAGATACATATAAGTATATAACTCGATTAATATTATTATGGATCATTTAAGAACTAACTACATATAGATCAAATGCAATAATAGTGATGAAAACCACCCGACCAAAAAAGGAAAACATGAAAAAAAGGAACAGAGTAATTTTGGGTTCACAAAAGTGAGAAACATAACAATGCTTCTCTTAACCATTCTCTCTATCCTTTATGAGCTGATAATGGAGACTTCCCTCCTGCACCACCATGTCTCAGATTCTCTGCACAGATTTATTACGATAAGTATAATATGTTTTTAAAGATTCAAAACCTTTACTAAAAATGTTTGGACTCGAAGAGAAAAAAACACTTGCCTCGATGCCTTTCAAGCTCTTCATATAGTTCTTCTTCCCACTCCTTTCGTATCTCTGAAAAACTGCAAGCGGGATTCAAAGAAGGAAACTTCAACATCAAATTTTAAGGTTTTTATAAACATAGTAACTTCAGCACGAGCTAACTCACCAACGGCTATTATTTACTGCCTTCTTGGTTAACTCGCTGACTTGAGTTGACTCAGTTCCTGGCTGCATCACTCTGCTTGTACGTTTTGAGCTTTTGAATGGGCTGGGCATTGCATCACTGATAGCTGAGAGTCGTCTGCTAGGAAGACGTTTAGGTGACTTGCTTAGAGTTGGTAGGTTTGGTAACTTGTAGCTGTTGTTGTTTCCTCCAAGTGCACCTTGTGGTATTCCTGGATTCATAGCGTTGTGGAATTCTTCAAGCAGAGGGGTCTGCAACCTTTTCAAATCTTGAGCCTTGACAACAGATAAAACCAAAAACAGAATAAGTGATCAACATTCAGATATTCATCATAAAACCTCACTTGGTAGCAGATATGCATATGAAATCCTAGGTAGACCAGAGGATATGATTAAGATTAGGGAATATTGAGAATGGAAAGCAAATATGTGCATGCATTTAACATTAACCAATTAACCAAGATTAGGAGATTAATAGGTCTCTTAAGCCTAAGTTTAGCAAATGACTCATTCATAGTATTATCTGATTTGTCATCAAGCTGCAGCAACGAGGCTTACCTTTTCATCCAAAAATGATTTTATTTTCACCTCTGTCGCTTTATAATCATCCTCTGCAACGGAAGAGCTACCAGCAAGTGTTAAGCTGGTTTCCTCATCACATGGAACACCAGATTTGAGTTCAGCGGCTTGGTAAGAAAGCATATTAGATTTACTTCTCTTCACTTCCGGGCTTTCGTCAAATTTGCATGACCAGTTATCCGTGGAATCACACATGGGATTAAAACTCTGTTAAAAAGTTCAAAGGTTTCTGTCAGTAGAACTGTAATCAACAATATTTGAAATTTGGAGGATAGATTGATCACCTTGTTTAAATCTGTGGATTGTGACAAAACATTGTTACTGACTGATGAAATGTTGCAGAGATCATCCATATCGATCTGACAAAGGTCATCAGAGTCGCCATCTTGCCAATGAAATCCTGAGTTATTTGACTTCTCAGGGTGTATAATAGAACTCCTCAAGCTTCCGAGTTCACAGACATCCTTCAAGCCAGAACAGGTTGACATCCTCATCAAAGAGTTCATTCTGGAACCATAGATATATAGGAAAAGTGAAAAAGGAATCAAGAGACCAAAATCAGAGGAAGTAATAAGAACGAAAATTGAAAGTAGAGCTGCAAAGAGAAACTTACGAATTCCTAACATTTATTCCTTGTACTGAGTTTTCGCCTTCCTGATATATTTCAAAGGATGTCAGAAGGTTGAAGAACCAGAACATAGTTCACTGAATAGTTAATGTACTAACCGTAAGAGAAATACGGAAAGCAGGATGAGGTTCCTTGTGCTCTCCAGTGACAAAGGGATGCTGCAAATGTTAACCAGATGTTAGAACTATTAACAACAAAAAATAACTCTGTTAAAAGTGGACAAAATATAAGATTCACACCACCTGAAGCAATTCAGGTGCAGAGAGTCTCAAGCTTGGTTCCCTGCAAAATATAGTAGCTCTTATAACTAGGATAAACAGAAACAAACGCTATCTTGAAATGGAAGGTGGACATCCGCCTTTGTAGGCTCTATCTCTAGATCAAGACATAAACGAACTTATGACTTACTTGTGTAAGCATTTCAGTAGAAAGTCTTTAGCCTCTGGTGAAAGGTATTCTGGAATTGGTGGATGAGCTTTTGTTCTACCAATATGAAGGACAGCGGCAAACTGAAAAAACACATGTTAGTTTTCAAAACTAAAAAACTGCAGCTTATGCATCAACTTTATTGGAAATTGTCGTCCACCCAGTTGATATGCCTACCTGCTGGTACTGCTCGCTCCATGGAGGTTTCCCTGTAGCCATCTCGATCACAGTGCACCCAACGCTCCATATATCAGCAGAGCTTCAGATTCAGGAATAAGGTCAGACGAAAAGTTGCAATACACAGGAGAAAATAGATGAGAACAATTTCTAAAACCCGTTACATTTGTAATGTATCATCTTGCAAAAAGTTAGAAGCTTAAAGAAAGTAGGAGATTTTGGGGAAGTAAGATGACTAGTATGTGTATTATACAAATACTTACAAGCTATGACCAGTCTGAAGAATAACTTCAGGAGCCATCCAATACGGTGTTCCCTTCATAGATTTGGCACCATTTACAGTAGCCTGGAAGCAAAACAATCACAAGTTGTCGAGTAATGAAAAAAAAAAGAGGCAACATAATGGAATTTGATTAAAGAGAAAGATAAGCGCAATCATACTAGCTCTTCAACTTTCTTAGAAGCACCAAAATCCGCGAGCCTGATGCACCCTTTATTATCGACCAAAATATTAGCCCCCTAGACAAAGTTGACAAGAGTTAAATAAAGCAACCACATGTCCAAAATCACATGTTGGGAAAATAAAAAAGCACCTTGATATCTCTATGCATAATCCCATTCTTGTGAAGATACTCCAAACCAAGCAAAAGTTGCTTTGTGTACATTATTATAACCTATTCATAAATATTCATCACAAACATTACATCCCCTGTAAAAATCTCAAACACAAAAGTCAGACATAGTAAGGAATACTTACAGGTTCAGGAAAAGATCCAAACTTCTCCAACAAAGATGAAATAGAACCACCGGAAACAAACTCCATCAATATATTCAACGAATCACTCTCCCTTACAGTTCCCAAATATCTCTGAAAAACAAACAAAAAAAATCATGATAATTGACACTAAATCTATATAAAGGAATGTTTGATGAGACTACTCACAACAATGTTTGGATGTGAAAGATTCTTGAGAAGTCTCACTTCTTCCTCAATCTCACGTATATGACCCTAAAACAAACAATTATTAATCCTAAAATTAGAAACTTAAACACAAAGACTAAAACTACTAAGCTACCAAAAGTAATTAAACCTCACCTGAGTCTTCTCCTTTGCATTGTTTGGAGCAATTAAAACCTAATCAACAATTAAACCATCACAAAATCAGCAAAATAATATAATTAAAACACAATTAACGGATAATCTGAATTAAAAACACAATTAAGTGATAATCTGAACTGATAATATTCAAATCGACCTGTTTAATCGCGAGAAGCTCGCCGGAATCAAGGTTCATCCCCATGTAAACCCTCCCGAAAGCACCGCAACCGATTAACTCCCCCTTTCTCCACCGAATCGCCGACGGCGCTTCCTCCTTTCTCGGAGCGGGGAGTCCCGGAGGCGTCTTGTTGAATAATCCGATTCGAGAGCTGCGGATGCTGGAGTTGATCTTCCCGACGAATCCGCTGAGACTCCCTCCTCCTCCTCCTCCGTCGTCTCCGGCTAGAGATGATCGGAAAACTAAGGATCGGCGAACCGATCCGAGAATATCCTGCATCGTGAGTGCTCTCGAGAAGTGATTCGTTAGAGAGATTAGTGAAGAAGATTATTCATTGGCTTCTTCGTTTGATGTTGAGAGGAGGGAATGAGAAACTCCGATCTGTAATTCAAAATTAAAGTGGAGCTTCTTTTTTTTTTTTTTTCGTTGGGAAAAAATAATTCAAATCGATTTGTTAATGGGCCTTGAGTATTGGGCCTTCCGCACGTGTCGAAGAGGCGGATCGTGTGTCGGCCGTTTGAATCATGTTGTCTATCTCCACCAAACTCACCGACAAAAAGTATATATTAAATAGTACATGCTATTATTATTAATCACATGCAAATTTGCTTTAACTTTAATCTTGTTTTGTCTACTTTTAAATTTGAATTTAGGTTTATGTGTTTAAAGAATAAATACTCGTTCTGTTTCAATACATCAACATTTTTAGAAAAAAACAAATTATTTCAAAAAAATTGTTTTTATAAATTTTTATTGTAAATTTTGAAAAATTAACTGTGTTTGTTAAAATAAAATTATGAAAAATAGTTAATCAGAAAAAGTATTATATTTATAATCAAAATTCATTAATATGTTGAAAAATCTAAAATTTCGAAACGGAAGAATAGTAAATAGCATAAACAAAAATTATTCTTCAGCAAAAAAAAAACTCATGACATGTGTGGTAGATATCTCTCAAACTCTCATCAACAGAGGAAGAAACAGAAGGACAACATGAAAGCAAGCAAGTAACTAAAGAGGCTAATACTAAAGGTGAAGCCATTAGAATCCTGTTTTGTAGCTGGAGAATAGTTTCCTTCTGGTGTGTTGGTGGTGAGAACCACAACGATCCAGTCATCTTCTTTACCAATACCCATCCCTGTGAACTTAGAATCGTTCAAACTCAAGGAGTATTGTGACTTGGTGAAGTTTGTGAGGACAAGGCTCGACTCTAGACGAGGAACACATGCGGGCATAATAGAGCCGTCTCTTGTGTCAGAGACGTTTAAGTGGCATTTAGCTAGAATGTTAGGGTAGTCTGCGAACTGTGGTTCGGTTCCAGGTACCGTGGCTGAGCCAGTACTGTTGGTGCATGGTTTGTCCTTGAATTGTTCGGCGAGTTGGTCTGCTAGACACTCTGCGTTTTTGTTCTTGTTTAAGGTTGTGAGGTTTTGTGATGTTCTGTAGCTGTTGATGCCTGTGAAAAGAACGTCCTCTTCATCTGCAAAGTTAAAAAGTCTTATCAAAATCTATATACTTTGCAGTATCATACTCACAAGTAAATCTTTTTAAGAAAAAAGTATAGATTAAAGATCTAAATGAAGTGAAAGGAACAGATCTTAAGAGATTTCAGACCAGATCTAAGAAACATCTTAAAGTAAATCAAGAACAGAGAATCTCAAGAACAAGAAAGTTATGGAAGAGAGAGGAAGTTACCAGTGTCACTAAGCACAGGGCGGCTGAGGAAGAGAATGATGACGGAGAGGAGGAGGAGAAGTGGAAGCCTGTTGTTAATCGCCATTGAAACTGATTCGAGAACTCTCTTGGAGATGAATAGCTTTTATTTATTGATATAAAAGAGAGAGCGTGAGAATGGTTGCTTAGCTTTAACTCTTTGACAGTTTGTTTTTGATTCTGTTGTGCTTTACTTGTCTTACTTGATTGTGACGCTGCGTCGGCCACTTAAAGCTCTTATCTTCCTCCTAAACGATGTCGTTCTGTTCTGAGTAAAAGGGAGGAACAAGAACAAATGTAGCAGCTAGTCTTGGGCATTTTATCCGAAACCGAAAACCGAACCGAAAAAACCGACACCGAAACCGGACCGAAAGTTACAAAAACCCGAACGGTTCCTATTTTTTTAAATTCAAAAAACCGAAACCGAACCGGAACCAAACCGAGAACCGAACGGGTACCCGAATATTGTAAATATAATAAAAATATTAATTATTTTAAATTTTAATATATATAAAATATATTTTTTAATACCCAAATATTTTCCGGGTTTAACTCAGTTTTTCGGTTCTTTTTTTAATTTTTGGGCTTTAAACCCGAACCAAACCCGAACTATTTCTATTTCAGTTCCACTTTGAATTTTATAAAAAAATAGAAACCCGACCCAAACCCGACATTACCCGAATCGATCCGACCGAAAAATTGCCGGTTCCTAAACGGTTTCTAAACAACCTAACCCGAATAACTCGAAAACCAAATAATTCGAACCGAAAACCCGAATGCCCAGCACTAGCTGCACATAAACTCACTAAACCAAACACAAAGTTTAAATCTGAAACCAAGTTCTTGGTTTAACTGATTTGTTATTACATTGCAAGTGTCGAGATGTGACCAAACACAATAACCAAAACACAAACCAAAACACAAGAAGAAAAACATAAGTGTTCAAAAGTCACTTACTCCATAACTGCGACTCCACCTACAGCTTTGATCTTTTCTATGATACCATTAGCTTCTTCCTTAGTCAGACCTTGTTTAATCACCACAGGGACTTTCTCCACAAGCTCTTTCGCTTCCTTGAGACCCAAACTCGTGAACGCTCTCACTTCTTTAATCACTTTGATCTTCGCAGCTGTATCAAACTTCTCCAGCTTCACATCGAAAGACGTCTTCTCCTTCTTCTCCTCTACTTTCCCTGCTCCAGCATCTTGTTTTGCTCCCATACTCATTCCCTGGGATGAGATCATCTGCTGTTTCGGAAGTCTCAGGTGTTCATTGAGTGCAGGACCGATTTGTTTCCGCTCTTCTGGAGATAGTGCAGCTATACGGTCAGCTAGCTCAACGATCTTGCTTGAAGGCTGGGGTCTAGGACCGTACGGGTCATAGAATGATGGGTACTTGTATTTCTTGGGTTTGGGTTTCGATACAGAATCTTGCTGCAAGAAACGCGCTTGGACAGACCAGTTTAGTTTGGGTTGGCATTGGCGAGAATGAACGTTTCTGACAAGTGAGATAAGCTTCTTCATAACTCTACAACTCTGCTAGCATACAAAAAGTCAACACAAGATCATTTCACGCAACAGTAGAGACAGAAAGAGACTGATTTTACTAAATGCTGTTTTTGACCAAAGCAAAGAAGAGATCCAAAATCCACAGAACCAGACTGATCATGCTTACATGAGTATCAATATAGGCATGAAGATTTGGCCTATTTACAGCAACTATCTGATGAAACTAAGAACACAAGTGTACCGTATCAGTTCAGGCCCAAAGGTTGATCAAATACATATAGCGTTTGTCACAAGATCAGTGGAGCAAATTGAATAACACAAAAACGCTATATGTATTTGATCTACAACTCTGCTACCATTAAAAAAGTCAACACAAGATCATTTCAAGTGCCACAAAAGAGAGTTTTTCAAGTCTCCAAATCTACACATGACAGTAACAGTATAAAAATAAAGAGAATGATTTTAGCTTGGTGCGTTACTTAATGCTGTTTTGACAAATGCAAAGAAGAGATCCAAAATCACAGAACGAGACTGATTATGCTTACATGATGATCAATATATGCTTGATGATTTGGCCTATCTACAGCAACTATCTGATGAAATTAAACAACACACGTGTGTACAGTGTACTGTATCAGTTTAGGCTCAATGGTTGCACAAAGCCTTACAGCGTTTTGTCACAAGATCAGTGGAGCAAATTGAATACGACAAAAAAAAAATTGATTTCAGAAGCAAGTGGAGATTTATTTGACCGATTCGCACTTCAATAAACCTCAAAACTAATTTGATTTACTAGTCTTATCAGATTCAATAATCAAGTGCGAAACTGCTTACATTCTATAATAATTAGTGATCCGTTTCGATTACTGAGAGCACAAACCCTAAAGATCGAAACCTAGCTAGCTCGTAAGTTACCACAGTCCCAATATCAAAACAATAGGATAAAATAAATCAATATAATCTATAATGTGAGAATAAGATCTCTAAAATCGGAGAAGAAAGTTGAGAAATGGTTTACCTCCGGCGCGTTGCGGTTGGACAGAACGGCTAGCTTCGCCGGGTCAGAGATGATGGTGCAGGTGAAGAGAGGAGGCACGAACGAGAGAGGGTTTAGAGTGAACCTTCCTTTCTTTGGGCTCAAAATTTCATTTCGTTAGATGGGCTAGGCCCAATAGCTTCTCATCAACAAAATTATATTTCGATATATGGGCTAATACCAATAGATTATTATCCCTTTCTTAATTTTTTTTTGTAATAAATTTTTCAAGTTGTTAATTTATAGTTTGTTAGTTAATAATATCAATAAATTTTTATTGATAATAATACCTTTTTTGAATGGCTATTGGCTTAGAATCATAGGAAATTTTTACTTTACTAAAAATTATGCATTTATAATTAAAAATGAGTTGTATTTTTACTATTAAAAAATATATAAAATTTATCTTTCAAAAACAAATGGAGTACTCTATCATGTTATGATGCACATTTGCTGAGAATTGGTAAGTAACAAACACATTTTTATTGAAAAGAAAATAAGAACCAAGAAAAAGGTAGAGTTGTTAAAAGTGTGATCCTTTGGTGATGTTCGGATCAAACTTATTTTCACTTGCAACTTTTATAGAGGAAACAACAGAAGCAAGAACAACTTGTCGAGACGCTTTTTAGATCTGTCCTAAAATGACATCTGCTCCTGACACCTTGAAGTCAGATGGTGCTTCTTCCACGTTCACAGCCTTCACCTTACCATCTTCAACATAAGCAGACCACCTGCACATCAACATCACACAAACAAACCAATCTGTAAGATAAATAGGTTCAGAGAAATGAAATTTTCTACAAACGGTCTTTTGCAATGGTGTTTACCTCTCAGACCGAGGGCCAAGCAATGCAGCAGAGAGATCTTTGTCTAAACCCAAGCTTTTATGGAATTTCCCATCAAAATCTCCATAAAACTCAATCTGATGTTAACAAGTTTCAAGATCATCACATTAAGTCATTATGCTGGCATGTGATGAAGATAATACATCACGCAAATGAACAAAGTGTAATAACAAAGACAAACACGCAAATGAACAAAGTGTAATAACAAAGACAAACACCCAAATGAACAAAGTGTAAACCATGAATATCTAGCCAGGAAAAGATAAAAAAAAATCTATTGAAATTTGCAATGCTAGTCCAAATAAGTATTATGGAAATTGCCTATGAAGGAAGTCTCACTAACCATAGATTCATATATTTAACAATCATCTACCATAGAAGTCTTCTAGTCCACAAGCTTGAGACAATAACCAAAACAATGGAGTAAGAAAATTCCTAAATGGCCCATCTTTACCACTCTAACACTTAAAACAAATTTATATATTTATTTCACAAAACAAGATTTATGAAACAAGATTCAGCAGAGAACTAAACATTAAATTCATGGTGATGTTAGGAACACAACAACAAAAAATTCTAAGAACTTACAGCATCTTTAGCACCAATCTTCTCTGCCCAACCATTTATAGTATATGGATCATTGACAGAGACACAGATGACGGAGTCAATGCCTTTGGCTTTGAACTTATCCATGTGGCTCTTGTAGCTTGGCACATGCTGCTGTGAACAAACTCCCGTGTAAGCGCCCTGCACACAATAATCATAACTCAGAAACCTGATCAAGACATGAAAAATATTAAAAGACATAAACTTTTCTTACAGGAAGTCCAAAGATGACGACTTTCTTCCCCTGCAACCAAAACCAAACAAATCATAATGTCAGAAACTGAGATTACACCTCAAATCAAAATCCAGTAAAAAAAAAAAGAGAGAGGGTTGACCTTGAAGATATCTGACAATGGTGTGGTGGAGAATTTGGAGGAAACGCCTTCGTCCCAGCTCCGAGCTTTCTGGAGGGAAACGCCTGGAGCCGCCGAGGTTATGTCTGTGCCCTCTGAGAGCTTTGAGAAAGCCCTTGATGATGAAACTCCGATCCGGGAAATAGTGTTTGCGGCGGATCTCAAAGCCGGTGAGTTTCTTAGCTTCAGAATAGACATCGCCATCGTTGTCTGAAAATGAGAACGTGTCTACCTCTTGGTTCGTTTCGATTACTGTATAGTGTCTCAACCATTTCTGAAGAAACATCTTGCCGTTTTGTAACACGCTAATCAAACTGCACGCTGTTTCAAAGTCTTATGGAACAGCACACACTTTTGATGTCAGGTTTAGTGTAGATTCCGACAAAAATCTCAATGTTGGTGTTTTCAGGTTGTTGGTTCAGCTTCACTTCTTTGGATAACATCAAACTGTGAAGAACATTCATTTCTTGACCAAGTTGAAAGAGTGTGAGGCAATACATTCAAATGAATTCTTTAGATTCTCTATAAAGAAAGAAAACACAACTTGTTCTGAGACTGTCATGAATCCAAAAAACTATCAGCAAAAGAGTAGCCATCAGTGTTTCTTCAGTTTCTGTGGAGCTATGATATGTCTCTAGCTCTCTGAAATTACAAAAGAGAAGTTAGATTAGAACAAGTCAATTCAAGAACCATTACTATTTTTAACGGATTGATGGTATCAGGTACTTACTATTTGTTTTTGGTTTTGCTCCATTTTTCGATGGCATTGTACCAGTCCCACTGGAAAAAGAGTGCGACTAACCTTATAGGCCCTGCGGTTATGACTTCAAGAAAAGCGAGCCAAAATGATCTTTGAGGTGACATGCCGGTTGTGGCGAGGGATAGTAAGAAGCCTTCAAAGTTGCATGAGACAGTGAACTTTCCTGCTTTGATGCCATTCATAGCTCTTCTTGCTACTTCTTCTGTTTTCATTGAACCAGAGGACGCAGCTATTATGGCAGTGACCTCAGGTCTGCTTTTCTGTTCTGAGAAATCCAAAAAATGAAAATCAAATAAACTCTTATCAGCATCTTAACTTTCTTAATATGAACCAAGCAACCTCAGAGCACCCGTCAAAGTGTATGTTAACATCCCTTATTCTCTTCCACACAGAATCAAATTAACGCAGAAACTCTACTCTAAAAACTTTCGTAGTCAATCATCAGTAACAGATCAGTTTCTGGCAATTTCATAGCTAAGAGAATGCGACACAATTATTCAGGCAAGACAGATAACAGCACATCTCCGATCTCATAATAACAACTAAATCAACAATAGTTTAATCATGTCTTCATATCTCCAAACCATTACTACAACTTTGTGTATGTTAACATCCCTTATTCTCTTCCACACAGTATCACACGAATCAATGTAACGCAGAAACTCTAGCACTCTAGTCTAAACACTTTCGTAGTCAATATTCAGTAACAGATCACTTCATCAGTTTCTAGCAATTTCATAGCCAAGACGAGAATCCGATACAATTATTCAGGCAAGACAGATAACATCACATCTCTGATCTCACCATATAACACACCATTATGTAGCTTGTCTACAACTTTTTATGCATTTTAACTACCTTATCCGCTTAATATAAGCAAACTCATTAGCTACCTAATCTTACCTCCTACAAATCTACAAAACCTTCAAAATATTGTCTTTACCTTCCTCAAACCCTGGTGTATCAGTATCAGGAGGAAACACAAGAGTAACATGAATATCATCAGCAATAACCTCTTGCTGCAGTGACTGCGCTAAACCTTGTAGCCCAAACTTACTCGCAGAATACGCAGCATATCCATAGATACCCACCTTCATACCAAAGCAAACATCTTTCACATGTTTTGTCTTCCATCAACAATTTAACTTAGTGGCTGTTATTCAATTTTGTACTTTAATAGAGTTTAAATCTAACAAAAATTCGAATGATGATTCTAAATTCTATTTTAAAATCTAGTGTTACTGGTTATCGTATTTATAAATCTAATTTAAAATTCAATGAATGATTTAAGTCCAGTTTTTTAAATTTAGTGTTATTCAACTTCAAAGGATTATAAATTTCTTTACATTTAGAATTGATTTCAAATCATTTGGTGTGGAATCTAATGAACAAAAGTTTAAAATCAAAATCTAAGGAGATTTTGGAATTCACCAACTAAAACTATCTTTGAATTTAAAATTTTATTTCATTACAAAACATTCACCATTGATTCTAATTCATTGTCTAAATTCACCAAATAAAAACCTAATCTTTCTTTTTTTTCTTTAAATTTGTGAAGACCAACCTGACCAGCTTGAGACGAAACAAGAGCAATAGAACGAGCTCCACGCCCATCATCCCTCGCCTTCATCCCAGGCAAAGCAGCCTTAATCACATTAAAACTCCCAACAAGATTAACATCAACAATAAACCTAACATCCTCCACACTATGCCTCTCAAGCTCCCTCGCCGTAAACACCCCTTGATTCACTACCAACACATCGACCGCCCCCGCTTCCTCGACCGCCTTCGAAACGGCGTCGTAATCGCGAACGTCCGCTGAGAACGTCGCGACTTCGACCCCCGTCGCGAGCTTGATCGATTCTTTGGCTTCCTCGAGCTTTTGGGAGGATCTAGCGAGGATCGAGACGCGTGCTCCCTCTGAAGCCGCGCGGTGCGCGAGGGCGAGGCCGATTCCGCTGGATCCGCCGGTGATGAAGACGTGGCGGGATTTGAGGGGGATTTTGGTGGGTTTTGGGCGGGTGATTAGGGATAGGATTGCGAGGAGTGAGAGTGGGAGGAGGAGGAGGAGGAGAAGGAAGAAAGGAGACATATTGTTGGCCGTGGAGAGTTTTGGGATGTGGTGGAAACTCCGCGTGATCACTGGAGAAGAAAGCGAAACTGATTTGTGAAACAAACTAACGAAAGTCAAAAAAAAAAAAAAAAAAAAAACTAACTAACGAACCAGATACGAGGTTAAGGGTTTTCCTGTCTGAACCGGTAGTTGAATTTCTGTCTGTTATTTTAGAGCATGATTATCCCTTGGTTCCTATTAAGTTTCTTAATGATTATTTAAGTAATAAATTTTAGTTAAGAATTTTAGTTAAGGATCACATGATTTTTAAGCTCCAATGGAAGTTTCTTAATTAGGGTTTTTTAAAAAAAAATTGCCCCAATTAAAGCCAAAAAATTCTCCAGCAAATGTTACATAAAACTCTCAAGTACAACTAAAGATTAGCCAAAAGTATATTTGGAACTAAGAACAAATTGGTGGTAGTGGTTACGTAGATGACCAGGAAGACGTGAATGTTTGTTCGGCGATTGAAAGAATGGCAGGTGAAGCTAATTATCATACCAAAAGGAGAGAGTTTGGTAGGAAATTTCTCTAAGCCTCTCTTTCTACCTAACCTCCTAACAAATCGAATATCATACTGCTACCTCTTCGTCTGAAACAGGGGATGGGGGTTTCAAGGGGCTGATATCAGGAGAAGCGGCGGAGGATAAAGAGTAGTCGTTTTCCATCGTCATCATCATCTTGCTGAGTTCATGGAGAAAGGAGAAGACGAAGAAAGAGAAAGGAAAGAAATTAAAAAGAGAAAAGAAAAAGAAAATTATATTTCATTGTGTGTCGACACGTGTCTTAAAAACCTTCTTAAGAAATAGTCCCCAAAGTCCCCGATTAAGGATCGGTAATTGCCTTTTCTTTTTCTTTTGATTTAATTAAATCAACTTTTTTCCTTAAGAACTCTATTAAGGACTAGCGTTAAACATGGTCTTAGTTGAATAAAATCAATAAAACAGTAAGAACTCTATGTTTTAATAAAAAAAAAACTATATAATTTAATGATGTTAAGATTTTAATATTTTATTAATTTATTAAGTTGCTAATTATTAAAATTTTATTTGTTAGATTTATATAATTTAAAATATGTATGTAAAAAATAAGAAACTACTTTATGTTATGGTATATGTATGGATTATAATTTAGAGATGCAATTTTATGTTATTCATATTTGATTATGCGGTGTATATAAAAATACACTGTAAATGTAAATTTATTAGTGTAAAATATTGTAATAACGTTAGTATTGTTTTGAAAAGGTTAAAAATAGATTTTACTGTGAATAAATAGAATATATATGGTTTATCTTTATATAAACAATATATTAAATAATGGTTATACTGGGATTAAATATGTACTTACAGTTTTTTAAATATTATCTTGTTATCTTATTGAATTCTGTCAAATAAAACACTAGTCCAACTCAAATTAGTATTAATTTGTCATATTTATTGATTTATCGAGTATTCATTTATAGAGTTTTTACTATATATATTGTGTAAAAAACTTATATACTTCCTCTTTTCAAAATAATTATCATTTTAAGTTTTCTATTTTCTTTCAAAATAAGTGTCATTCTACAATTCTTATATATTTTATACATTGAATCTAATTTTTACCTTTTTGAATAACCATTATTTTTTAAAATCATTATTATTTAATTAATCATACATTAAATATGATCATACTAGTTAATTATAGATATTTCTTAATCTCCGTGAAGAGTGTCAAAATGACACTTTTTAAAAAACGGAGAAATTATGTTTTATTAATATCAGATAGCATAATTATACAACATGTTATCAAATAAATGACAACTAGATCATAACCCGCCCGACTGGACGGGTCTTTGTTTTTATGGTATAGATAACATTTCAAAGTTACAATTTAATGGTTCCAATTTTACTAAGTAATAGTATATTGTTTAAACATTGTATTTCCTTATTGTATTCTGTAACAGGGGCGTCGTAAAATGTTGTGACGTAAACATTTTAGTAATAGTTTATAAAGTTTTTTGACTAAATTTGGTGTAAAGTTATATACACTAAATAATTTAGTCAAATTTTTAATTTAATTTTTTAATGAAGAATTGGAAGGCTAGTATATCAGTGTTAAAAACTTATAAGAATAGTCAATATAAATTATATAAATAAAATATATATTATTCTTGATTTATTCTAAATAGATTTAAAACATAAATACATATATGTATAAATAATTTGTAGAAATAAAGTAATATCAATGATAGAAAATCCAAAAACAATAATAATGATACCTTGGGCCGCAGTAATCTTTAATATAATAAATAAGCCCATTAAATTTGTATGCTATCCATATTTCCAATCAAACTTTTAAAAAAATTTTATTCATGTTTCCAAACACTTTATTTTTGTACTTCAGCTTTAATAGTTTTTAGTAATAGTTTTTTTTATTAAATTTGGTGCAAAGTTATATATACTAAACAATTTAGTCAAATTTTTAAGTTAATTTTTAATGAAGAATTGGAAGGCTAATATATCACTGTTAAAAATTTATAACAATAGTCATATATAAATTTTAAATAATATATATATTATTCTTGATTTATTCTAAATAAATTTAAAACACGAGTACATATATGAATAAATAATTTTCAGAAATAAATTAATATCAATGATAGAAAACCCAAAACCAATAATAATGGTACTTTGGACCGCAATAATCTTTAGTTTAATAAATAAGCCCATTTGTATGCTATCCATGTTTCCAATCAAAATTTTAAAATCTTCTTATTCATGTTTCCAAACACTTAATTTTTGTACTTCAGCTTTAATAGTATAGATGCATTTATTGTTTTATTTTAGATTATATAATTATACATTTATATATTAGCAACAAACAAGTGATATATTAGTCTTATGAAATTAAGTTTTTTTCTGCAACTGATCCCATAAGAGAAGGTGGGCCGTGACTATGTATCTTATGGATTCAGAAAGGTTGAATTCGTAGTCTGCAACTTGCAAAAGAGACAGGTTTGAGTTAATACTTTCACATATTGATGCTTATTCTTATTTGACATTTAGAACTTTTTTTGAAAATTTACAGCTAGTTGACAGAAAAACATACAGCTCTTTTTTTTGGGGGGTCAAAACATACAGCTCTTCTCCATACAAATGTCTAAGCTGTGATTTGTTTGCAAATATTATATCAGAGAATATACATATAATTCTAGGTCTTTTTAAAAAATAAAAAATAAATAAACCAATTTGATAGAAAGGAGAGTGATGGGCATGTGGGTGCAAGTCTGTGACAGTCTTTTTCCTCTTTAGATCTGACTTTTGTCTTTTCAAACATTGTTGCCAACATAACTGTATAACTCGGAAAGTATTCTAATATACCCCAGTTGGAAAATAACTATTCTAACTACCCCACCATTTTTTTCACTGCCCCACTTTTTTTTTTGTTCGTAGTAGTTTCTAGTAATTCAAGGTAGTTTGTTTTTTGTTCATAGTAATTTCTAGTAATTTAAGGTAGTTTCTAGTAATTCAAAGTAGTTTCTCGTAATTCATATTACACATAATACTGATTCATTAAGGGTAATTGATTTTTTAACCATACTTAGACTTTGAGCAAAAAAAAAATCAAATTTATGATGGGTTAAAATAGAATGAAGATGGTAGTGAGTGGGGCAATGTAGAATTTAGTCCGTATAACTCTGAGGTCCCAAACATATTGATTGGTTATGGACCTAAACATAGAAGATTTTCCAATCTCACATGAGACCTGTCCTGATCCAGTTTAATTCCTCTGCTGATAATATAGGACTAATTTCATTAGTTTTATTTTTCACTCGACTTGAAATTAACAATTAGAAAAAGTGGTATATAAGGTAAGATTGAGTGAATTAATCTCTCTAGACAATTGCATAAATGCCGACAAAAAAAAAACAATTGCATAAATCACACCAAATCCCTTTAGATTGATGTGTCTTCCTTCATTCTTATTATTTGCTGATTTTACAAACAGAAAATCTATAAATATTAATATTCAATATATAATATGAAATTAATGACACAAATACATGTCTTGAATCTTGATTGAGACTTAAGTGAAGAGAGATGCTGCATCTCTGTAGGTTCTTCTTGGGTTAGTAGAAGCTGCATGATGAAGGGTGATCCTTTCTTGGTTGTGGTTGTTGAAAGTTGTGGAGTTATTGTTGTTGTCATAAACATGATGAGGATACTGTTGCTTGGTGGTGAGGGAACCATATCTCCCTTGCTTCTTCTGATGAGAAGGATTATGTTGTTTCCTTCTTGGCTGAGAACATCTTGGAATGAACACTCCTGTCCCTTTGCTCTCTCTAACTTGGTTATAATTCTGCTCATGGTACATCATATACGGTGTTGCTGATGCTTGGTAGTTGTCTCTGAACAAACCCTGTTTTCGATTCAAATATCAACATCCACATATATTCACTAATCAAGAAAGAGAATATATAGAAAGGTTTATTTAAACAAACCTGGAATGAGGCAGGAGAGGAAAGTGATATAGGGCTGTGTTCATCTTCATCTGTGATTAAGAGATTGATTTGCTTGCTTATATCTGCATAGAAGACATCATCATCAAGCTCAAGGTCCATAGCCACTTCCATGGCCATATATAGCTTGTTTTTCAAGTAGACTCTCTAAATTAATTAGCCTTTTGTTGTCTATGGAAAGAAGTGTTTTCTAAAAAAATATGGTTCAAGTGGAGATGTGAGGGGGGAATGTTCAAAGGGTGGCATAAATAGGCAAATATGTTGAGGGTGAGAGAGAGAGGCTAGAGAGAGAAGTGCATGTGGGAGAGTGGGACCAAAGTAAAGATAGGAGTAATATATAATGCAATCTAATCTGGCAAAAGTAAGTCCCCACACATAAATGGATCATGAAGGAGGGTTTGCACAATGATGCTACTACTTGCAAATCCTTAAGATATTAAATCAAAAGTTCACATCTCACAACTCACAACAAGATTAAGACACCCATATCTATCTCAAGTTATATTTTTTTTCATTACATAATAAAATTATAATATCTCATCCACAAAACCCATCCCTCTCACTCTAACGTTTAAATCGAACTTCATTTTCTTGTATGGCTCAAAGTTTATAGTTCTAATAATCTCCACTTATGGATGGAACTCCTATACCAACCTTATCCAGTGACTTTCTTAGTCAATACCTTCAGAAACAAAAAGATATAAACAATAATAAAATACATACTCCCCCCTCCCCTTCTCTCTCTCGTAACTAGGGGTGGGCACGGATCGGATATCCGGGTTTTTGAAGGTATTTGTGATTTGCTTCGTATGTTACGGATATCTAATTTTGGTATTTGCTTTGCTTCAGAAAAATACGGATATCCGGAAAAATGGATATCCGGAAAGTAAACAGATATTTGCGGATATTTACGAATACTTACGAATATCTCATCCGTTACAAATAATCTTATATAAATTTATCTTGTAAATTTTTTTTACAGGATATATAAAATAAAAAATAAAGAAGTAGTGAATTTACATATTTTATAATTTTATATGTTTAAGTTAACAACTATAATAACACAAAACTTAAGATTTTTTTATAAATTTTTCTCTTCTTTTTATCTAATAATTTTATATAAGTAATAATGTGAATCTAATTAGTCAAATCATAAGCTATAATAATAATTTTATAAATTTAAAATTTTAAATATAATCAAAATATACATATATTTATATATTTCCGGATCGGATCCGATATCCGCTTCCCAAAATTTTAATATTTGTGATTTGCTTCGATTTTAACGGATATTGATTTTTAGTATTTGCTTTGATTCGAAAGTTTACGGATATCCGGAATTTTCGAATCGAATCGAGACGAATAACGAATCGAATCATATTTAACGAATAAAATGCCCAGCCCTACTCGTAACAGAACTAGTTAATGATATGTTTGGTAATAAAAAAAACTTAAACTTTAATAGAACTACAAAATTCAAAAAGTGCTATGACTGTGTGCGTTTGATCTAAGAAAATGCTAAAAATAAGAAAAAAATTACACAAAAATTTTATGCATTTAAAATATCTCAACGAAGAAAATGGAAAAAAATAGAGAAATCAGCTGTGATATAATAAAATACTGAATAATTATATGATTAATTTTGTTTAATTTCCAATAATTATTTCTAAAATAACATAATACATACGCATATATATATATATATATATATATATATATATATAAGTATTTCCAATTCATTGCAAACTTTTATATTTGTTTTTGAAAAGCAACCGTTTAAATCCTTGAGACTGCATGCATGGTCGCTCCACATTTAGTCTTAATTTTATAAGGTGTACTTTTCCAGCCATTTGCAACTACACCCACGATGGATGACCTATATGCATATACCCAACATATGGAACCGTGGGTCACACAGTCACACTTGATACGTTAATTTAACTTTTATCTAGCTTTTAAAGGAAATAAGCTAATTCTTCATTGTTAGCCTCGTGAAGAAAATATGTTCAAACAGTTATCTTCAAGGAATATCATTGACATAGTAAGTTACTGAATAGAGTATTCTATAAGGTGAGGATTTGGATAGTTAGTGAAATGAATCAGTGTTGCTTGTTATGTAACGAAATTACTATCGAAGAAATTCACGGGTGAGTCCCATCTGAAGTGGACAACTGAAGCAATGAACATTAAGAATATAGATTTTGTGGAGATAAGGAGAAAGAAGAAAACAAAGAAGAATCTATCTCCGTGATTTGTTTTGGATGGAGTTTTATAGATTCTCTTAATTTTTATGGAAGTAGGGTCGCACACACAGGTCAAGTTGGTCACTTAGAAGTTAGAACTAACGATTCTAAGTCAAGGTTTTACGAGTCCTTCCATATGTTTATACAGTAGTCAATAATTGCTTATAATACATATTTCAAATAGTTTTCTTCTATGACTAGAAATATTAGAATTCTAGACTAATTTCTTCAAATTTGTGGTCATATAACAGTTATACAAGAAACGTTAGTGTCTTTTTGTATATATATATCTTTTATACGCTATGTTCACTCATGCGTATGAGTAACCATTAGTGAGAATATGTACATAGATAAAATGACATCAGTTAACAGGTGATCACTAGTGGACTATGGGGTGCTTCTTGACTCTAACTAAAACTCATGGTACGTATATAACTTCAACGTATAATACTGTAATACAATAAGTGAAACTTATCCGAATCTTGATGTGTGTTTACATCATTTACACCCACATAAATATTAAAAAGAGCAAATAATACAACACCACAAGGTTGTGTCATAGATAAGCTATGCTCTACCCTACACCTACACATCCAACTTGCATACATCACCAGATAAGGCCCCAGAATAATCAAACCTAATAAATTTGTAGGCTAAAGTGAAGTAAGTTTTATCTCTGTGTTTACCCCCAAATGACCAACGAAATTTGAAAGAGTTAAGGGTATAGTATTTGAGAAGAAAATTACTTAAGAGAATCTACAGTTTGAAAACACTCACGAGCTTCTTGCTAAAGGCATGTCATGTCACGATCACCGACTTGAGTTTTTTTTAGCCTCACCGACTTGTCCTTTGGGCATCATAATTAATGACTAGATTCACTTAAAAAAGGCCGCTTTGTGATTAAATTATTATTCTATTATTATATTATACGAAAAAAACAAACATAAAACTTATCCATAAAAAGAAGTTCGTGCATTTAATGGAATAATTGATGTCACAACAAACACTCTTTTAAAAAAGTTAGGGTAAAGGATGTTGTGCCGGTGGAAGATCGTGCTGTTGAAGTGGTATGCATGTCTCGTTTGAAATGATCGTTAACGGTATAAGCTGTATGATTTGAAAGATATTTTTTAAAGCACTACAAGAGCGAACTAAACATATCTAAAAAATCAACTACATATATACATGTAACTTGGAAAATATAAATCTAGCTAGCTTTGTTTTTACAAACGCATATGCATGTCACGTATAAGAAACACATTTTTCGACAAATGGAAGTGGCCAGACATGCTACGTGCACTGCTTAGTGGTTATCTCGAACCTCAGAAGATTTACCAGACATAGATCAACATGGTTCAGACAGTATCTTTATCTGTTCTTCTTGTAAAGTTGTAATCGATTCACATCTTGAATGTTCTCAAGAACGATTTATAGTTTCATAAGACGAACTATATCTCCGAGATCTAGTGGATCTTAAGAACTTTACAAATTTTGGGCTAGGCCTAAGAAAAATACCCAGTATCATCTTCTTTCTTTTTTTAGTTGCAATCACATCTATTACTTCATATAATTGTAAAACTTGCTCTAATATTTATAATATTTGCTGTTTTCACCAGAAAAATGTAATATTTATGAGGTAACTCAATCTTTGTGTATAAAACTTTTAATATCATTTGAGATTTTAATCTTTACAAAGATTATCAATTTAATTACATATATTCCCATCCAATAAAACTTGTGAACAAAGGTAAAACAGAGATTTATTGAAATATAAAATAGCTCATAGAGCTTTATTTAGGTGCATAAATAAGAAAGGAAGAAATTTGAGAGTTTGTCTTCAAGAACTATAATATAAGATTGATATCATATAAAATGTAATGAAGGTTGGCTGCACAAACCGCAGCCTTAGTTACTCCAGCTCAATGTCATTACACTTAGATATATAAGAAATCTAACATCTGAAAACCCTAGTTGCATAGGTGAATGGGCTTCATTCTTTCTTTGGGCTTGGGCTCTAATAAAACTAACCCCTCCATCAAAAAAAAATCACAAACCCTTTTATGATCTTTGAGCTTATCATCTTAAAGAAAACAATATTTCCAGAAGAAACAAGAGCGTGTTGTTGTTGTTGTTTCCCTTGTTCTCTCCAGCGTCATGACACTGTCACATTTTCTGTACTCTTTGCTTCCTTGACTCTTCTAGAAGAAGAAGCTTCTTGTTTCATAAACAACGCATACATGAGCTCGTTCCACGTGTCAGGAACACCGGGAAGGCACCAGTGGCTACAGTCTTGGCGATGAAGCGGTGCAGGACCAAGCGCGCCTAGATAGTAAAGCGACGGGTGACCATCTTTTCTTCGAGCAGACATTGCTGTAATGTTTAACACTTTCATTTCAACAGTCTCTGATCTGTTGGAGTAATGTGATAAGGCATCTCCGAGGAGCTTTAACTGTTCCCATGTCTCTGCTGAAACCAATGACGTTCCAATCTCTGGCAATGTCTCCATGTGACATGTTCCCCCCGTTCTCCAATCTCCTCCCCTGTTTCATTACGAAGAAGCAACACACGAATTGAGACTAAAACTAAAACAAGCAACTGATTTTATTACAAGGAGTTATAACTAGGTAGTTTGGTTCAGGTAGTTCGGTTTTTGGTTATTTCGGTTCAACACAAAATATTAACAAATAAACCTGAAATAAAGTTTGGTTTAATGCAGTTCGGTTTGGTATGGTTCAGTATTTAGTTAGTTTGGTTTTTGAAAATCAAACCGAAATTTTGATTTCAATTATATTTCGAACTTAATTTTGTTAAATTTCGGATAAATTCAGTTAATTTCAATTAACTTTGGTTAGTTTAGTTATTTCGGTTTGAAATTTGGTTAGTTTGGTTCCAGTTTTTGGTATGGTTTGGTTTATAATATTTTTTTTTGTTTTTTCAATAATATCGAATTAACCAAATACCGAACCAAAAACCGAACTTTTAAAAAAACTCACCAAATCGAACTCAACTAACCAAAATATAGGTTTGGTTCGGTTCAAAATCCTAGCCCTAAAAGTCTTATAACTTATAACTACTACACAAACCTGAAATGTACAGGGGCAAATGTTCGGAAGAAGACTTGAGTTTTGTTAGAATCCACCTCGGTTTGTATCCATTTCATAACAGTTTCCATAGCTCGCTTATACGCATCATCTACATTCATCTTCATTTTCACTTTTTTCCCTTCTTGAAAGTAGCATCCCCTGTAACAACATTTCAACATTTTTTTTAGTCATTGGAACAAAAGAATCATAAATGATCATCATCTGAGACATCAACAAACTAACGTTCTGATAGTTTTCCCATAGTTCCACCAATGTCCTGTATTGAACACCAAGATGTCTGCACCTCTCCATTTACTAGAAGTCCAATCCATAGTGTCTAGTTTCAAAGTTGTCTTAACATTCTTGGGAGATCTAGCCGGTGGTCTGCCTTGAGGAACCAAAAAAGGAGATCTGTAGTATTCAACTGTGCAGTTGTAGTCTTTAAATTTGAACACTAAGTACCCTGTGTGCTTTGTGATGGGACTTCCATTAACTTCATAAACCGAACTCTCGTTCTTGACTGCAGAAGAGAGAAGACAAAGAAGAGACTCCCATTGGTTTCTCCCTATTGAGTCTCCAACAAACACTAGCCTCTTGTTCCTGAGTTTCTCTAACATCAGTTTAGCATCAAACCTGTTTTCATTTGTCACATAATTCAACACAAGTCAGCTTAGGTAAACTATATTCATTGTTTTAACAATAATGTTGTGCATACATGTTATCTGGCACGGTGGCACCTAATCATTTCATTTAAAGATCCAATTCAAGAAATGTGAAATGAAAGAAGAAGAAGGGACCATTATAAAAAAAAGATCAAATCAAAGAGAAGAAGAGAACAAAAAGGTACTAAAGATGATGACTTGGTTTCACGAGATAAAACAGAGAGCTGACCCCAAGATTAATCTTATCTTAAACCGTGACTTACGGACACAACTGGAGAAAGAGACCATAAGAAAACGACATCAAAGCAACAACAACAAGAAGCAGAGAACAAACAAGATTCAATTAACCCTTTTGGTTTCAGAATCTATAATCTCTAGAACAAACAATCTATAATCAAGGAGCAGAAACAGAGAAGAACAGAGTAAAAACAGAGTCTTCTCACCTAGGCAAATTACAGTGTCTGGGTTGCCATCTCCAATGAGTATAAAACAAATCAGACCTTCCAAACTCACTACACCTAAACCCTCCATCTAAAAATCTACAATCTTTGGATTGATACAGAGGATAAGACTCGTCCCAAACCCAGTCTCCATCAAACACATCACACCCATCTCCACTCTCTTCCAAAAACCCAACTCTGTTTGGAACACTAATGATACTCTTGTTGTTGTTGTTGTTGTTGTCAAGTTTGAGCCAAACGAATCTATCTGATTTATCAGAAAGGTTATAGCTTTTAACCACGCTTCTATAATCAAAGTAGAAGAAGCTCCATACAAGACACAAACCGACTAAAAAGAACCCAAACACTCCTAGAGACGGTTCGAACACGAGTCTTGACCTCTTGAATCTCTTTAATGCTTCGGAGAATGGCTTCTCTCCTCCCTCTTCTTCAACTTGTGAGTTCTTGTTAGACATGTTTTTTGAGAATTCAATAGATTAAGAAGTAGAAGATGATGATGGCGAATGAGGGAGAAGCATGTTAAGTGGCTCCTTTGCTTGGTAAGTCAGTTTCGTTCTTTTAAAAATTATTATGACGAATGATGCGAAACACATGTGTCAAGGAAACGAAAAAAACACACTCATTGATGATTGTTTTGTTGGGAAAAGTTTTAATCTTTCTGAAGAAATAAAAAAAAGGTTTGGTTTTTGTCAGAAAAAGAGAAAGAGGAAGAGAGAGACCAAAGAGGAACAACAATGGCGATTCGGTTCGAATCCAGACAAGAGGAAGTAAGAAAGAAAAGAAAAGTTTCAACTTTCTCTTGTTGTCTTTTTTTTTTTTTTTAGTGTTCACATTAAACAAGGAGGAGAGAGAGGGAAGAAGACGAGTGGCTATTGGTTGAGAATCGTGGGAGTTGAAATATTGATTACATTTATTTCCTTTTTTTTTGGTTTACAAAAAAATCCAAAAATTAATTAAATTCAATTTTGGGAGATTGATTGTTTGATAGTGGAAAATATATGTGTTTATGTGGTAACAAATTTTGGATTCTTTTAATAATATGGATGTGAATGTTCATAATTAATTAAGAAGTGAACAGCTAATACTATCTAGAAGTAGTAAGAGAGTTAATACAGTTGTTACTAGTCAGGACAAATATTCTTGCAAATCTACAGGCAGTAATGACAAGTTTTTGTTGATTGTGTTTAGTTGAGGATTTGATTTGATTTTTTACCTATATAAGAGTAACAATAACAATCATAATATAACCTAAGTTAATAATAGTTTAGATATTGATTCATAGGAGTTGTAGTAAACAATCATATTTTCCAAAAAAAAATCATAAAGCAATCAGATTTAGTTTTAAAAAAAATGAATCTACAGATTTTATTTGGTATTTTCAATTTCTTTGATAGTCTATAGCAAGTAAAAAAAAAATCAGTCTAAAAACTACAGTCTAGTTTTTAAGCAAAAACATAATATTACTGCACCAACCAATCCTCCTTAGAGTTTATGTTATTTTTAATCAAGATTTTAAATATGTTTTAAATTCCTAAAACTTGTTCTCATTTAGTTTACATGTTTTTCATTTGAGTCGAACTTAATTTAGGTTTTAGATGACAAATAATCATTTATTAAAATTATATTGAGTTTACATATTACATGTAAACATGTTTCTTTACTGGTTTGTTTTAAACGGTTGAAGCTCTTATCTTTTATGCTTTTTAGTAATCAAAATATACTACTGTTTGTTGTAGGGTACGAGCTTAATTATTTTTGGAAGTTAATAAAATAATAGGGTACCAGCTAATCGTGCAATTAAGCATTTGCTATTATATTATGGCCCGTATAAATCCAAAGGTTCATAACCCCACGTAGGGCCAGGCTTTGACGTTTGATAGCCAACGGTCTAATGCTTTTTGCCAAACAATTTGTTTTAAATGCAAACGTGGACAAGGTTATGAAAAGAGATTTGTCGCCTTTGACATTTTTCTAATAATTTAGATAAGCATTTACATGTAGCAAATAGAGGTAGTTGTGGAGGATGGAGAGTAACATACTCAAAACTTGAACCATATTGAACCGGAATGTTTTAACCAAAACTCTATACTAGGTGATCCAATGCCCCCGAAAACCCAAGGGTTCGTTATTCTTTTTAAAAACACCAAAACCCAACACTGAAAAAAGTTATAAAAAAAAAAAATTCAACAACACTGAGATTAAATTTAAAACCATTTGTGTGTAATCAAACTACAAGTACATAGTTTGGTATGCAACAACCCAAAACTATTAGAAAATTAGTTACACGCTAGTTTGCTATACCATACCTGAAATTATTAAAGTATTACTATAATAATTAATGAGGCAATATTTATGTGAAATAAAAGGTGTAGGGGACCAACTTAAGATAATGTAATAATAATCAAGAGTGTTAGGCATCAATTATTTATTTTTCTTCTCTTTTAGTCCTATCTTTATCAGTAGCCTTATCATCTTCGTGAATCGTCACCTTTGTTAATGGTATGATGGTGTTATTAGCTTATGGAATTGTTTTATTTATACACCAATAGCTCTTTTTTTTCTTTTTTTTTGGGCAATACCAATAGATCTAAAAGACATCAGAATATGCCAAATTGCATTTTCTTTGGATCGGATCGAAATAATAGGACACCCGAAAAGCCAAACCTGTTTGGCTTAACCCAAGGGAACCGGAACCATATAACACGTATCTACTCCCTCCGTTTCAAATTATATGTCATTTTAGAATAAAATATTCGTTTCAAAATAAGTGTCGTTTTATATTTTCAATGCAAAATTTATTGATTTTAAATATCATTCTATTTTTTGATTGGTTGAAAAGTGGTTAGGTGTATAGGAAATTGGGTTTTTATTTTGAAAATATGGAAAATTAATTGTTTTTTAATCTGTGTGCAAAAACGTAGAATGACAATTAAATTGAAACGGAGGGAGTACTATCTACACAAGAAAATATGTTTATTCGATTTGTGTTTTTGCTATTTCTGAAAAATACAACATAAACGAAATGGACCAAACATAAAATAATATTATAACAAGAAAAAATAACATTTTCTATAAAATATACAAGTTAAGATCACATTTCTGTTAAAATCCTATAAAACTCAATGTAGGTTTAGTTTTTTTTTTATGTTTATACATATATTTGTTCTTAATCTAAAATTCTAAACTAAACACCTCTATATAATTTGAAGAGGCTTGACTATGAAACTGTCCATGCCATTTGTCTTACTATTTTGTAACACATCACATGTCATTTTTCTTGGGGACAATGCATCTCAGAAGGATAGAGAGGGAAAAGAGAACATGTTGCGTATTGGTAAAGCTCAATAATACCTTTGATTTTGATGTAAATAATAATAGATGCAAAAAGCATCGTCAATACTTTTCTTAAGCAATGATCTAAAGTATTCTTCCTTTACTACCTTTACTATTTGTATTGATTTTCTCAAATTCAAAAGTAGTGACAGAGTAGAGGACGGGTCTCATTACTCAATTCCAACATAAGGAATTGATGCTCAATTTTCACTTAAAAGTGGATAGGTAACAGTTGAAGGAGCCTCAGTTTCTCTCAACGTTTCTGTTTCCTTTGAGGCTGAGATATATGTCTCGCAACGATGGGCGATGATTCTACGTTAACAGTTATTTTCGATACTGTAAGATTGCATGCATTATTTAGTATTATCTTCTCATTTTCCAAAATTGTCCACTTTTACAGTATGATGATAATTTATATAATTTGTTTCTCTAAATATTTTCACCCATAGCATTAATGTTCTCAACCACGTACTACGTACAGTTCTCAGGTTATTTAGTCTCATACCGTACCTAAATAATTGCTTCTTATGATAAAACAATTTCTGGAAAGCACCATCAAAATTTGTATATTCTTAGTTGAAAATAAGGTATAGTCTACCTAAAACACATGGTGTAAAGTTATAAAATCAGACTCAGACACATCATATTAATGAGATTTTACTTTTGTTCTGAAATTAGAAATTCTGATATAGAATTAAATACACCCCTAGCAACCAAAAACATACTATTCATGGACTATTCACTCAGTCATCAAAATATAACCATTTAGTTTAGTTTGCAATAATTAACCCACTCAGAAAAAAAAATGTATAAACATGCATATATATAATCATCAATCAATCATTGTTGAAGATCAATAGTTTAACGAGTAGTCAATATATAGCAGGAAGATGGAGATGAAGAAGCTTCTTAAAGTTGTGTTCTTCTTGGTCACTTACTTAACTTGTTCCCTTGCCATGCCTACTTATCATGGTTGTGGTCCTTCTGGAAATGTTGCAGAGAAAACAATGAGAACAAATGTGATCGGAGAAGCTTCAGGAGATGAGTTTGGGAACTACAAGGAGAAGAAGGTGGATTTTCATATCAAAGATCATAAAGGTCAAATAAGAAGGCCCATGATGGAGAAGGTGTTAAGTCTTTGGAAAGCAAACGGTCGATGATCACGAAGCGTGGAAAAGATCGTCACTAAAGCCATTGCTGCATCATCTGAGAAGAGAGTCGAGGGTTTCGCCATTGAAATTGACTTCATTTAAATATGAAGTCAATTTCAAAAAAAAAAAGAAGGTGGATTTTTCGTTTGGTCGTAAGTTAGCTTCTGGTCCAAGTCGTAAAGCCTGCGGCCACTAAGTAATTTTTAGTTGGGATAATAATATATAGATTATTGTTCTAGTTTATGTTTCTTTTTTTTTTCTTTTTTTTTTAATGTTTCTTGATATCGTTTATTTTAAATAATATATGGGCATCGTCTAGGTTAACGTTAACCTAATAAAGGATTGCAGTTTTAATATGGGTTTCTTTTCATTTTCTAAAGATATATATTGTCATTGTGCGAGAATAAAATGCATTCTCTCTGTTTTCAATTCCTACCTTCTAATTCATTCTCAGACAAACTTCTCTTTTGCGCATCTGTGCTAATAAGATCTTACGATCTAATGAAAGGTTTGGAGGTTTCATGTGAACTACCTTATATTTTCTTGAATACATTAAGATTTTATTTTATTTTTGGTAAAATACATTAAGATATTTGGTTCATCAAAATATATTTTAGCATCATGTTAAGTTAAATCATTTTTATTTTTGAGCTAGCAGTGCCTGTTGCTATTTGGAAAATATGAGTACACTAGTTTTCTAATTTTGCTTTCTTTTTGCGAGGTCCCAAAAATACTAGCTCCATATGAATATATATATAAAACATCCATATATTCATTGAATTTAAATGTATTCTTGCAAAATATGAATGCAACATAAGAATTTAGTAGTATAGTCTCAGTAAAGGCCCAAAAATAGGCTTAATGGGAGTACATTAAACGTCTAGTAAAAGTATTTTATTTGTAGAGTAATTAAGGTTAACGTAATTAGATACTCTATGCTTTGAGCTGAATGGTTAGCGTAAAAGCGAAGAGACCGGAGGAGAATGTGGAGAAGGCCTGCTTTTGAGGCTAATTGTTCTGTATGTCAAAACTCCGATGATGGCTCCGATCACCGGAGCAGTCATATAAACCCATATGTACTCAAAATCCCATGCCACCACCGCCGGTCCTAGTGATCGTGCTGGGTTCATTGATCCTCCTGAAATCGGTCTGACCATACCATATTCCAAAAGAATGTTTTGCATTATATTCGACTTTATATTAAATACTTTTTCATAAAAATGTTTTTGTTAAACTATAAGCGTACGTAAATGTACTAACCACTTCACACGAACGCAAAGAGAAATAAAAACTGCAAAAACATATTGGAGATGAAATTAAATTTTGGTACCCGGTAATAAGCACTCCAAGGGATATGACTGCTCCAATCACTAACCCCGTCAAATTACTCAGCTGTATTAAATAACATTAACATATACTCTTCTTTAATTGGTGGATTTGAAAACATACAATATATATGTGCATTTCTTCAGTGTGTGGATCACAATGTTATGTCATTGAACTCGTCATCCTTCGACACTTACATTTTGATGAGGACCACAATGCAACGCGGATGCTAGAAACACAACAATGCTCGTAGCAACAAGTTCAACGAAAAACGCAGAAACGCAGCTTAACGCAGGTTTTGTTATCATTAGGTCAGCGTTTACTCCGTAAACTGACACCCCAGCTAAGGTTGCCGCCGTTGCCCCCAGCGTTTGCGCCATTATATATAACGGAACCTGAAAAGAACAACCACGTTCAAGACGCTATACTATTTATTTTTATTGAAGCGGTAGCTTTTATTTAAAAGGTATTGACTACTATTAAAAATCTGCGGCTGATTCCTGCGTTTGCGTTTGCGTTTGCATGTGAAATAGTAGGTGTGTTAATTATACCTGAGACCATGGAAAACCACCAAAGAGAGCGAATGCAATGGTGATGGAAGGGTTGAGATGGGCGCCGGAGATGTGTCCAATGGAGTAAACTACGACAACCACCGATAATCCGGCCGTCGCGGCGTACTCTAGCAACCCGACATGACCGCCGGATAACTGAGTACTGCTTATGACACCACACACGCTGAACATTAGAATGAATGTCCCCACCAGTTCCGCTATTACCTACGCATTGTTCCAGATAAATTAGCATTTCTATATTCAAACATTTCTTTTACTTGTAACAGTGATATTATTTAGTTTTATGTTTTAGCAAAATATTTGACATAATGACATTTTTAGTTTTTTAAGTTTTTGGACATCTAAGTAATACATTAATGTGTAGAATATAAATGAACAAATCGAAATTATAGATCCAAATCTTAGCATTTTTATTAGTTGTTTTGTGTATGTATGAACGTGCATATATGTGTGTAGATGATATGAGGCTTACAATGCGTAGGGGATTGAGATCTAATTCATAAGGGAGACAACGGAACGCTCGTTGTGTTGATGGATCACCATCTCTCAATGAGGATAGAGTTGAGCCAGCTTCTTGGTCAAAGACTCTTGACCGTACCTCAACATTCATCGTCTTCTTTATCAAGATGGTGATCAAGGATCGATTGAGGACAGTCACCAGGTGGCGCTTGGAATGGTTTTATGAATGATCTGGTGGAACAGAAAACAAAGAGAGACAGAGAGAAAAACGCAAAGAAGATGGAAAAAGTACTTTTGGTGGTTTAAGGAGTTTGAAAGGAGAGAGGAAGGTGTTCAACACTTTTCTTGTGTCCATCTTTTACATTCTCTTTACCAATATTTCTCCGTCTTAGTTTGGTGTTTTGTAAGTCATCCATTTTTCTAACAAATTCTTTTCATGTGTGAAAATTGACTCTTGAAAATTTATTAATTTTTCTTTAAAAATATAGTTTTGTTCACTTCTACTTCTTCCGTGCCAATATTTCTTTCTTCAATCTGGTGTTTTCTAAGTGAACCAAGAAGCAAATTCTTGATTTAATAATTTGTGAAGATCAAACATAATGACAAGTGGCCCAAACATTAGAATCTTAAACATTTCAATCCCAAAATAATAGATTTTCTTAGGTCTCCACACCAAACCTTTCTTCGAAAAATTGTACTCTATCCATTTCACAAAAATGTTCTTTAATTTTTTCACACAAACTAAAAAAATGAATTGATAAAATTACACTTATTTAATTTGTAACATTTGAAATAGATAAGATTATTTATAAAACCAATACATTTTGTAACTAGTATTAAGTTTTAAAAAATAGAAATTATATTGAAATTCTAAATGATATTCTTTGTGTAACAAAAATTCAAAATTATATTTTTAATTTGCGAAACAAAAGAAGTAATCATGTTCATAGACAAAACATAGGAAACCAATCCATGAAACTTGTATATAAACTGTGCTAGAATCATTCTTATAGTTTTAGAATTCTGAAATATGTATGTAAGTTTGAGATTTAGATTCATCATCATCAAATGTCATATCCATTTATATTTAACCCTTCTGGCCTAGTAGTTACATATGCGGCCTTAGAGAATTTATCTGGGTCTAATAAATTCATGCAAAAGTCAAAAGTTTGAAGGCCCAAAACAAAGCTTTAAACTAAACATAAAAAAAATGCACCAGCCGGGAATCGAACCCGGGTCTGTACCGTGGCAGGGTACTATTCTACCACTAGACCACTGGTGCTAGTTGTTCACTTCATCATACCCTTTATTCTCTTACCTGTTCTCTTATTTCTTCATATATTCTCCAGTAGTTGAGTGGAATTGGTGAAAGAAAGCAAGACAAGTGGAGCGAGAAGAAGATGGAGAAAGTGGTTGATCTCTTCGGAGTAGGAGAAGCCAACACACAGAAACTACTCGAAGGAGGCAACGATCTCAGCCAAATCCAACAGGGACTCTTCATAGGCTCAGTAGCCGAAGCCAATAACAAAGAACTGCTCAAAAGCTCAAACATCACTCATGTCTTAACCATAGCTGTTGCCTTGTCCCCTCCTTACCCTGATGACTTTATCTATAAAGTCATCGAAGGTGCCTCCTTTTTTTTTTTTTTTGCCTAATTTTCATTTTATCGACTGTAAAGTTGTAACCTTTTTGTTGGTATGTTTGTGATTTTGTTGTAGTCGTTGACAGATCCGAGACGGATTTGAGTGTTTATTTCGATGAGTGTTTTAGCTTTATCGACCAAGCTATTGAATCTGGTGGTGGGGTTTTGGTTCATTGCTTCATGGGGATCTCAAGGAGGTGACTTTCTTTCTTTAGACTCTGTTTTGCCACAAAGGGTGTGTCTTGTGTGTTATATGTATCTTGTAGATTACTTAGCTGATGATTCTGGTATCGTTAGGAAGTGTATTTAACATATATTGCAATGAACATGTTATATGTTATTTGGATATGTTATAATAGTTTTCTCGAGCCTGTAATTTTTGGAAGTTGATGTCATTTTAAACAGAGAGTTAGTTGTCTATTATTATGTGTACTGACAACAATTTGATTTGTTTTTTTTTTTGTTGAAGTGTGACTATAGTGGTGGCTTATCTGATGAGAAAGCATGGGATTGGTTTCTCTAAAGCTATGGAGATCGTAAAGAGTCGACGTCCTCAAGCACTGCCTAATTTTGGTTTTGTTTCTCAGCTTCAGCAATTTGAAAAATCTATCAAAGGTATATATATATATATATATATATATATATATATATATATTTGTTTCTTTTCTTTTCATTTGTGTGTATACAGAGAATCCTTATCTCTTTTCTCATATTCTGGAAAACCTTTTGAGATCTTTCTTACACATTCTTGTTCAGTATATGTTTTAGTCAATTTTTTTCGTGTGGAAAGATTACAGAAAAATATATAATTGGTAGCATTTCCTTGTGATCCAACTCGTGTTGATACAATCTGTGTTTTTGGTTACATGTGCAGTACATGATGAGGATTCTTCTTCAGCTGATAATAAGAAGGTAGTAACATGAACTCTCAAGTCTCATGAGCCCCATGATGACCCCAAAAAAAAACTCAATTGGTTTCGTGATTTGAATGATTTTTCTTGTGAACGATTGATGGTGAGCTAATTGCCATGTCCATTTGCCGTGTGCAATAAATAAAAAACGCAGATATTACTCTCTCTTTTTTTTTCTCTGTTACTACAATGAATATTTTCGAGGATTGTGATGAAATGCACTTAACCAAGACAAAACCAGATTGAATTACTTTGGTTTGGTCTTCCGACATCATTGCATTGTTAAGTCATTAGATAGTTACATATATAAGTATCACGTTTTATGGCATAAATAATATATCAAAGCTTCATAAGAGAAGTTTTCTTAGCTTAAGTTGTTAGTTTTAAGAGAGTGATAAGGAGAGCAAAGATTTACTGAATAATACCTTCAACTTAAACTTTTTACAAGACATTATAAAGAGCTTTAGGAAAGATTTTAGATGGCTATGAATATACAGCTGTTAAAAAAGAAGAGACTAGCCAGCACATAAAGATAGCAGAGGGGTGAAAGGGGGTTTAGGTGAAGACTGTTGGAGAAGATGAACACTGGGCATCACTTGGGCTTTCAGGGCCTGACTTGTCAAATAGAATACATACAATTAAATTTGCTGTATTTGTTTGGATAAGATATTAACTGAATACTTGTTCATTGTGCAAACACGTATCTTGAAAATTATAATATTCTTTATGTATTTTCTTATTGCTGGCATTGTCGATGAGTATTATACATAACGTGATAGACAATGGACAAATTGAATGGCGATGCTGGAGTTAAATTACTACTCCTAGAGTTAGTATTTTAATTAAATGGGGGCATGCACCTTTGCATGCCTTATACGTATTGTAGCATACAAACATATGTCTCGAAGATTTAGTTAGGGTTTAATTAGGATAGAACCTGTTTTCATTTCCCCTTACATTGCATTTGTTATTTAACAATATCATTCGGCTAGAGGATTAAGTTGTCATTAACAACATTTTTGGACAGGTTACCTTGTTAGAATCAAGTTTGGAACATGTATAGTAACTAGTTACTAAACGGAGCCAAACAAAATTAAGAACATCTATTTCACTAAAACAATTAAAAAAAAAAGAAAAATGAATACCAGTTTTTTGGGAGGAATCGTCTTAATGAGCCGTCGAGGTAGCTGAGACTCATGAAAAACCTTGGACAACTTAAGTTTGCTACAAATGTTATATCATTTCTTTTCTTGCAGAGTCTATTTCTTGCAACTGATCCATAAAACATTAGCATGGCTTTCCAATTTTTAACACAACGGAGAACGATGGAATCATATATATAATCTTACAAAATCATTGGACAGATAGATCTAGAGTGAGTACTACTAAAAAGTAAGAAAATATAAGTCAAAGATCAGGACGATCATGATGATAATTGATATACGCTACTACTTCTGAATTGTCTGAACTTGGAAGAACTTAATAGTTTAAATCGTATTTTCCGCCAGTAAATTTAGAAATAAGATTTTGTATATGTCTAATTCCATTGTAACCTTTGTGTACATAATGAAAACGTTTTAAGCTTTCTTTGTTTAGGTAAGGAAACGCGGTAACTAAGAATTAAAAAGAGGCACAAGGGGTAGAAAGTAGAAGTAAAAGAAGGTGGGTGCAAAGGCATGCACTCTAAATTAAAATACGCTATATATAAAAATCATAAAAGACCTCACGCAGTGAATGTAAAATGTAAATGTATCCAACTTCACAAACGTGACGTATCTTTGCGTATGCATACATTTCTCTACTTTGTACTTTATACATATTGATTGTAATAAGAAAGAGAGAGGAAGTAAGCAAGGGACAAAAGAATGTCACGAGACAGTGACATATTGCATTTATGAACCCTTGGAAAAGAAACTCTAAGCCCTAACTCTCTCTCCTTGTTGCGGCTGTATAAATACCACTTTGTTTTGAAGAATGTGTCGAAAAAAAGTGAAAGGCGATCATCTTCTTCTTTATAGATAAGAACCATAGAACACACACTAATTGAATAGAAAATCATGTCTCACATCGCTGTTGAGAGGAATCGAAGAAGACAAATGAACGAGCATCTTAAATCCCTTCGTTCTTTGACACCTTGTTTCTATATCAAAAGGGTAACTTTCATGTTATAATCTTTTCTTCTCTTCATACTCGATTTTCATGTTAATTGTATCCAGTTTTTAGGTTATATTTTCTTTTCTTTTGGGGTTTATGATTGGTGATTCTGTGCAGTGGTGATTTCAGATGGTCTAATTTGAAATTTATAAATTTTGACTTTTCGGATAATTGAACCTTCTCGAATAGTTTCTTTTCAAGACCCAAAAGATATATTAAAAAAGGTCTTAGATACATAATTGATCATTCATGAAAATAAAAGTTAATATATCCTCATTGATTTCATTCTCTTGTATATACGTGTTATGATAGACTATCTAGAGTAATTTGTAACATCTATAAATGACATTGTTTCTCGATGACTGATTGGTATTAGGGAGATCAAGCTTCAATAATCGGAGGAGTGATAGACTTCATCAAAGAGATGCAGCAATTAGTGCAAGTTCTAGAGTCCAAGAAACGTCGCAAGACACAAAACCGGCCTTCTTCTCCTTATGATCATCACCAAACACTGGAGCCATCCATCTTAGCTGCCGCCCCCAACGCAACCACCAGAATGCCGTTTAGTCAAATCGAGAATGTAATTACCACAAGCACTTTCAAGGAAGTCGGAGCATGTTGCAACACCTCTAACGCAAACGTTGAAGCCAAGATCTCAGGCTCTAACGTCGTATTGAGAGTTGTATCTAGGAGAATTGAGGGCCAGCTGGTGAGGATCATATCCGTCTTGGAGAAACTCTCTTTTCAGGTTCTTCATCTCAACATTAGCAGCATGGAGGAGTCTGTCTTGTACTTCTTCGTTGTCAAGGTACATATTCACATCTACATGAATATATATGTATGGATCATACAACATTAATTTGAATGTGTTGTTTTCTTATATAACTTTAGGCTAAAATAATGAAGTTTGCATATGCAGATAGGACTGGAGTGTCACTTAAGCTTGGAGGAACTAACCCTTGAAGTTCAGAAAAGCCTTGTGCCTGAAGCCATCATCTCTACCAACTAAAACCAATGTAGTAGTGTGTAACGTTACATGATCATACATAACACTTGGCTAGAAATAAGCTCATATAGCCTTATCACTTATGTTTTGTGTCCGAACTCAATCGAAGTTGTAACTTTCCATAATAAAATCATCACAAATTATGCTCTAACTAGTTAATATTTCTACATCATGTATTGGAGTCTAATCATTAATTAGAAGAACTTTTTTTTTGGAGTAATTTTAATTTTCTTGTTTTTAAAACGATACACGCTAGTATAGAAGTAACCTGGACTTATACTCATGGTGTACAAAATTTCTTACTAGTATGCCGAGACTTGTGTTTTCGAATTATGTAGGTCGAACAAAAAAATAACAAACTTATGCAAATTGTGAATAGTATGAACTTTAAAACCAACACACACATAATGTGGGAAGACCAGAAGAATTATCTGTAATTAAACACAAGATGTCTTCTGCATTTATAACTGAAGTTTGTGCGATGCACGCATCCTTATATTGCAAGCCTCGGCCGCCGAGAAAGTCCGTGAAGTTCATGTCTTGTTGGAGTGTCAAGCTCTCATAATCAGACTACTAGCTTTGGATGATAATTCTAAATTTCTAATGAGTTTCGATCGACGATATTTCCCGGGATAGTGAAACTTTCCCTTGGTCTCTTTTCATTTTCATTCCTCGTTTAGCCAACTCTTTGTCAGATGCACTTCTTTTTCCTTACTCTGTTCCTAGTACCTGAGCTATAATATGCATTTCTTGGCCCAAAAATGGAATCGTGGGTAAGAAGAAAAACATATATACAGAATAGTATGATGACATGTTAATATTATAAACTAAATATAGAGATCTCTTTCTTTCCTGTACATGCACGTGAACCCCTTTAATATCTAAATAAATTCGGAGTAGGCAAACGATGTTAAAATTACTACATTGTGTGTTATATTCTAAATAGATTAGTACTGTAATTAATCTATGGAAAAGTATTGCATATGATGTTTTTCTCTTTCTCATTCAACATAATTCAGTTTGTTGTATCCACGTCAAACATCCTTATCTAGGATTTTGCTTTTTAAAATGACAAGAGTATTAGTTTAAAAGTAGAGTCAGTGATGAAACAATAGTTGTTAAATTATAAAGCAAAATAGAAAAAAGGCAAATGAGAGGGCATAATTAAGTTTTTTAGATATAAAAGGATACCTAGCTAGCATTAATAATATAATATACTAGATAAGAAATCCGTGCGATATTGCACATAAACTAATTTATAAAAATAAATATATCATATTATATAACTTATATTTTTATAAAATACAGTTTATTTTTTCAACGAAATTCTTGTAACATATGCAGAATGTAGATACATGTATCTATATTTAATTATAGATGTTACTAAAATTTTATATTAGTTTCATCCTTTCAGATTATAATTCAATTTAATATGCCAATACTAGTTTAAATATATATTTATATATGTCTTATTATTATTTTGTTAGTCACTAGAAATTAGAAATATAATTTAATATATTTAAAACTAATTAAAAGAAGCAAATACATTAAAATCTAATTATTTACTAAATTAATAAGGTAAATTATAATAATGAGTATAAGATTCATAATTTATTTGAAGCCATATAAAAATATATGTATAGTCAAAACATGAATACAAGGCAACATTAAGAAATCTTTTCCACTAACATGTTCTTTCTAGTAAATTACATATGCATATTTATGATAATTTGTATCTTTTATAAAATTATATATTTTTATAATGGTGCTGGATGTAGCTATGCAGTTATGAAAACTCTATTTTAGGTTAACCCTTACGAAAAAATCAAATTTTTTCAGATAAATTCTATTTGTAATGAACTTTAACTTCTTTACTGTGTTTAAAATATCTAACAACACTAAATTTTTTTAATAATATCCTAAATTTATTTTCATGGTAAAAGCGCATCAGTTCTAATATTCAGCCTATGAATCTAATAAAACTCTTTATACGACCTAATTAGTGTACTAATCCCTATAGAATCTCTATTTTTTAGAGAAATGAGAACATCTAAGGTCTCAAACATCTTTAATATTCACACTATGCCAGTGAATTATGCAGCTATGCATTAAAATAAAAATATCAAATTTTCTAATTTATCTTGAAATTTGTGGGTTGACCCCTACGAAAAAATTTAAATTTTCGATAATACTATCTATAATATTTGGCTTCTTTACCGTTGTTTAAAAATAGATAACCACCCTGAAAATTTATATATATGTATGCTAAACTTATTTTCATGGTACATGGATATTATTTCTAATTTTTCAATGAGTAATTTATTTAAACTTTATATACCACCTAATAAGTGGACTAACCCTATAAAAACTCTATTTTCTAGAGAAAATGGAACACCTAAGATCTCAACATCTCTTTATTCTTTATACTATGTTAGTGCATGATTCAGAATTCACTAATACAAATGTAACATATTTTCTAATTTATCTTGAAATATTTGGATTAACCCCAACAAAAAGAACGAGTTTTCGGATAAATGTTATCTATATACTAGGCCTCTTTAGTTTTGTTTAAAAATACCTAACCACATTCAAAATTTATAATAATTTTCTAAACTTATGTTCATGGTTGGAAATAATATCTAATTTTGAACCGAAGAATTTAATACATCCTCATATATTTCCAAAAACAATGAACTTAAACACTATATTTTCTAACGAAATTTGGACAACTAAAGTATCAAAACTCTTTGATATTCATCCTATATCATTGTTGGATGAATCTATGCATAAATAAAAAAAAAATCATATTTTCTAATTTATCTTGAAATTTGTGAATTAACCCCTACGAAATATCAAGTTTTTCCAGATAAATGATATTTGTAGTTAAGTTTAATTTTTTTAGTCGGTGCAAAATATATAACCAAATTAAAAATTTATAATAAAATATCCTAAATTTATTTTCATGGTATAAGGGCATCAATTCTAATTTTCAACCTATGAATTTAATAAAACTCTTTATTCGACCTAATTAGTGTATAACCCCCTATAAAATCTCTATTTTTTTAGAAAAATGAGAACATTTAAGGTCTCAAACCTCTTTAAGATTCATACTATGTCAGTGAGTTATTTAGCTATGCATTATAATAAAAATATCAAATTTTCTTATTTATCTTGAAATTTATGAGTTAATCCCTACGAACAAATTTAATTTTTTGATAATACTATCTATAATATTTGGCCTCTTTAGTGTTGTTTAAAAATATATAACCACACTGAAAATTTATATATATGTATGCTAAACTTATTTTCATGGTATATAGACATTATTTCTAATTTTCCAATGAGTAATTTATTTAAACTTTATATACCACCGAATAAGTTGACTAACCTCTATAAAAAAATTATTTTCTTGAGAAAAGGGAACACCTAAGATCTCAACATCTCTTTATTCTTCTTACTATGTCAGTGCATGATTCAGAATTCACTAAATCAAATATAACATATTTTCTAATTTATCTTAAAATATTTGGATTAACCTCAACAAAAAGAAAGAATTTTTGGATAAATGTTATCTATATATATATAGGCTCTTTAGTTTTGTTTAAAAATATCTAATCACATTCAAAATTTGTAATAATTTTCTAAACTTATGTTCATGGTACTTGGAAATAATTTCTAATTTTCAACCGAAGAATTTAATACACCCCCATATATTTCCAAAATCAATGAACTTAAACACTCTATTTTCTAGCAAAATTTGGGCAACTAAAACATCAAAACTCTTTGATATTCATCATATATCATTGTTGGATGAATCTATGCATAAATACAAAAATTTCATATTTTCTAATTTATCTTGAAATTTGTGAATTAACCCCTACGAAATATCAAGTTTTTCCAGATAAATGATATTTTTAGTTAAGTTTAATTTTTTCGTCTGTGTAAAATATATAATCAAATTAAAAATTTATAATAAAATATCCTAAATTTATTTTCATGGTAGAAGGGACATCAGTTCTAATTTTCAACCTATGAATTTAATAAAAATCTTTATACGACCTAATTAGTGTACTAACCCCTATAAAATCTCTATTTTTAGAGAAATGAGAACATCTAAGGTCTCAAACCTCTTTATTATTCATACTATGTCAGTGAATTATTTAGCTATAAATTTTAAATTTTCTTATTTATCTTGAAATTTATGGGTTAACCCCTACCAAAAAATTTAATTTTTTGATAATACTATCTATAATATTTGGCCTCTTTAGTATTGTTTAAAAATAGATAACCACACTGAAAATTTATATATATGTATGTAAACTTATTTTCATGGTACATGGACATTATTTCTAATTTTTCAATGAGTAATTTATTTAAACTTTATATACCACCTAATAAGTGGACTAACCCCTATAAAAACTCTATTTTTTAGAGAAAAGGGAACACCTAAAATCTCAACATCTCTTTATTCTTCATACTATGTCAGTGCATGATTCAAATATAATATATTTTCTAGTTTATCTTAAAATATTTAGATTAACCCCAACAAAAAGAAAAAAATTTCGGATAAATGTTATCTATATATATAGGCCTCTTTAGTTTTGTTTAAAATTACCTAACCACAATCAAAAATTATAATAATGTACTAAATTTATGTCCATGTTACATAGACATAATTTCTAATTTTCAACCGAAGAAATTAATAAAACTCCATATATCTCCAAAATCAATGAACTAAACCCTGTAAAATATCTATTTTCTAGGGACATTTAGACAGCAAAGCTATCAAAACACTTTGATATTTATCCTATATCATTTTTGGATGCAGTTATGCTTAAATACAAAAAAAAACATATTTTTAATTTATCTTGAAATCTGTAGGTTAACCCTACGAAAAAATCGAGTTTTTCAGATAAATGCTATTGTACTTAAGTTTAGCTTCTTTAGTGTAATTTAAAATATCAAGCCATATTAAAAATTTGTAATATTATATCCTAAATTTTTTTCAT